AATGAAAAAAACAACCAACTCTTAGAAAAACAAAAGGCAGGGGCTGGCCCAGTGGCGCACTCGGTAGAGTGCGGCGCTTGGGAGCGCAGCGGCACTCCCGCCGAGGGTTCAGATCCCATATACAGACCGGTCCACTCACTGGTTGAGCGTGGTGCGGGCGCGACACTGAGGGTTGCGATCCCATTACCGGTCACGAAAAAAGACAAAAAGGAAAAAAAAAAAGAAAAACAAAAGGAAGTTCCAGTTAACAGATTTATTTTAATCTTACAATTTGATTATAAAATACTATATATATAGAAAGGAGTAAATATAATGTATATGTACAGTTTAAATAATAAAATGTACATTCTGTAGCCACTATCTGCCCTAAGAAATAAAACATGAACTAGTATTAGCAAATCTTTTACATCACCTAAATTTTAGTGTAAAGCAAATTAAGCCTGATATGGTTATAAAACTTCAAGATGATAAAGGGTTTTTAAAGACTGAAAAAAGCCACCAATATTAAGGGATTATAACATTGAGATTAGGAGGAGATTAGACAAATCTTGTCCTAATGATAGTATCCAACACTATATGTAAAACACTTTTAAGTAAGAACTAATTTTTTTTCATTAAAACATTGTAGTAAAAAGTAACCTTATGGTCTGGATTTTCTGGAATAGTTACAACTTCAAATATTCATTTTTGTAAGCCAATGGCTTTCTGGAAATTATAACATCTGGTTATTCAGGCTAGTCTACATCTTCCAATCTACTTCTTCTACCTGGAAATGATATAAAAGTTCTTTGTGGAGGCATGTAACATAATGCTTGTTTGAGAAAATAAACCATCACAGAAACAGTGAAAAAAAAGTACCAGCTTACAAATTTAGGAGATCCTAACTCTAATCTCTGTTGAATTATTGGCTCTGAAGTGAGCTCTAAACTTTCAAGTAGCTAACACAGAGGGAAATACAACCAATATTAAAATTCACCATGCCTATGAGGAAAACTAAACTAGTACCGTGGGAGAAGCCCAATTACTCCTGATAATACCAAGAAATCATGATCATAATAATATAAACATTGACAACATCTGCTACGTCTGAATGTAGGTGTCTCCCCACAATTCATATGTTGGAACTTCATACTCAATGTGATAGTATTAAGAGGTTGTACTGTCCATTTTTGTTGCTTATAACAAAATACACAGAACTGGGTAATTTGTAAGAAAATGAAATTTATTGCTTACAGTTTCCGAGGTTGGGAAGTCCAAAGTCCAGGGAACACTTATTGTGAGGTCCTTCTTTGGTGGTGGCTTTACAGCAATGCAAGGGTCTCACAGGGTAGAAAATGACAGAGCAGAGAGAGAGATAGCTCCTCATTCACTTTCCTTTTAAAGCCCTCAGAACCATGCAAATGACCACCATTTTTAATCTATTCGTTAGGCATAGTCCTACAATCTAATCACCTCTTCAAGGCCCCACCTTTCAATTACCCTAATAAGACTTCCCACCCTCAACAGTTACAGTGGGGATTAAGTTTGGGGGGGACATTCAACCCAAGGTAGAGGTTGAGCCTTTGGGAAGTGATTAAGTCATGAGGGCTCCAATCTCATAAATGTAATTAGTGCCATTATGAAAGATACTAAAAGGAGCTCCCTTGTCCCTTGTGCCATGTGAGGATGCAGCAACAAGGTGCCATTTATGAAGTTGAGAGCCCCCACCAGACACCAAAACTGCTGGTGCCTTGATCTTGGACTTCCTGGCCTCCAGAACTGTGAGCAATAAATTTCTGTTATTTATAAATGACCCACTCTAAGGTATTCTGTCATAGCAGCATGAACAGACTAAGACAACATCCTTCCTTATAGTAAGCACAGCAATGTGCTTTAATGGATTTCTTATAACAAATATGCTGAAGACTTCAGAACAAAACACAAATTCACAGTCACCAACCTATGCCCTCTAAAATGATGTTTTCAGGAAATGACTCAATACCTCTTCTGGGTATTACCTTTATCACTGTAAAGGTAAACATCTAGATTTTTTAAACTGAATGTTAAAGTACTTCCTCCCTTAGTCAATAATTCAGATGTTCTCGATTAACCTGTTGTCTGTAACTAACTTACTGGTCCTAATGTGACTACAATATACTTGAACTAAATTTTATTAAATCCCAGTAATATTTAAAGGAAATTTCTTTTTTCTCTTTCTTGTAGGTACCCAGGGAAGTAAAAGTTTTATCTCTAGAATTGTGCGTGAAACACGCTATAGAAATGTCAGAGTTAAGTGCAGAATCACATGTGGATATATATTTTTTAAAAATCATACCACTTTTAAAAAAACATAACCCCCCAAGAAAAAACCCTAAGACTTCCCAGAGAAACACTGAAGTGATTATTTGCTTTATAAGCTATTTCTTCTGGACAATTTAAGTGTTTCAAAACAGCCCACTGATTACTGGACTGAGACAAAGAAAATTTAAAGCGAAACTATTAGGAGCCAGAATCTAGTAATAATTGGTTTAAAAGGGGGAAAAAAGCACTGAAATTATTATGCAAATCTAGAGAAAAATAACAATTATAAGTAAAAATGTGTGCTACATTCAAATTTGTATAGTGAGGCATTTTTATCAAAGACGCCTCCAATCTTTCTTTCATTGGAGTGTGTTTGGTTTTGTTTCCCCCACAGGATAAAAAAGAAAATTACTTGAGTTTCTCTATCAGTTCTCCAGTTAATGAAACCTCCAACATCAGAACAAGTTATTCTACCTTAGTTCAACCATTGTATATTGACCCCCAGAGGGTAGGTTCAATTTTAAGCCTTCTGAGAGGGTCCCAGTAATGGAGACATAGGCCCAGAGAAGAAGAAATCAATATGCAACTTTCTTGAGAAGTATACATGAAGAAAGCCTCGAGCTGCATGACCTCAGAGGGAATAAGAAAAATCCATAGGTCCCAGAATAACTCCCTGGTAGCTTTATGGCTTGGCCATTTGTCTGTGTGCCAGACCATAAGGGACAGTTGGTTTCTAGGAGCTCAGTCCCATAACAAAGCATTCCAACTATCTAAGGAATGAATTCCCTTTTAATTAAAAAATGGGGGGAGATGCTTTTTTAAGAACCTAAAAGATCCACCAAGAGCAAGTGTAGAGAGGAAGAAAAAAAATTTAGTCAGTAAAATTTAGAAGTTATTTAAACCTTTAATACACAGTCTCTAAGTACCTGGCAATACCCATTTCTCAAATGTAATTGCCCAATGTTGTTTTTCACCAGCTCAACTGATGTAATGCGGGAGGCGAAGAAGAAAGGACGGCAATAGAGCAGATATCCATACTGACATTTTAATTAGAAGCATCATCCTTTTCAAAAAGGAAACTTAGGATTTAGTTGGTAGCAGCAAAAACCGAACCGGTTAATAGCACCTAAAACTGATCCAGTTAGTTTATGGCCACCATGTACCTGGGTTTCAGGGCCTTGACTATGTGGATGATAGCAGTATATTCTCTTTTATTCCTTAAACCAGATGCAGAGTCCCTGCAGCAGCCTGTCAGGACCCACTTGTGTTGTAGCCCCTGTGTTTACCAAGGTAAACTGTCCATACTGCATGATGGAGCTTGGTTTTTACAGATAAATTGTAGACATTATTGAAGGAGTTTGAAGAAAGAAGAGGAAACCAGAAAGGACTTCAGAGATTATTATCCTTTATATATAAGAAAACTGAGGCTGAGAAAGGATGAGATGGTCTTCTCGATGTCACAGAGCAATTCATGGTTTATCCTGTGCTCTTCAGACTTTGGCTCTGTGTCAATACCCTACCTCTTAAAGGTAATGCTTAGACTGTCCTCTCCAAGGAAACTATACTTTGCCTGACCTCCAGGTTCAGTCAAATTCTCCTAACTAGCCATAAAATGCTCTTCTGAAGAAGTCAAAGAGCAAAGCATTATCTACCTCCTGCTTAGGTCACAGTCAGAGATCACTATTTCCCCTGTCACCTACTGGAAACATCCGGATTCAATCACCTAGGTCAAACCAAAACTAGGGCTGAGCCTTCTCTGGGCTCTCTGTCTCCCACTTACCAAACCAGACAGAACTGGACCCACTGCCATTGCTTGTCCAAAGTATGAAAAGCAGGGCAGGGATTTAATCTGTACCAGATACAGGATGAGAGACAAAGGAAACAATGTCATTAAAAATAAGTAGAACTGCTATTGATTCTGGAAGCCTGCTTTCAGCAAATGCTGCCAGGCACAGGAATCTGTTGTTCCCCCTAGTCTCTCATGCTGCATTCCTTGCTTGTAAAATACACCTCTGGGCATCAGGCCTTAAGGGTTAGGCTGGTCCTTATGTCTCACCTAGGCCTCACCTGATAGAAGGACTTCTTATACTTCCACTTTGGTCTCAAAGACAAGTTATAATCCAAAATGTAATTCTAAATTCTAGACAACTGTGGGGTTCAAGGTAGGGGAAGAAGGGAGATAAGGATTTAAGAGATATTAGACAAATGCCTCCATTCATTTATATATAGTGAGGCTAAACTAGCTATGGTTAATAAATGCTTTTTATATATCAATATAACTCTTATTCTTTACAGAAAGTTTTCAGATTGTTTATCTGAAATGAACCTCAAAATCTCAAGACAGGCTGGGCATTTCGCTAGCCCTCTTTCACAGATAAAGAACCTGAGCCCCAGAAAGGTTAAGAGTCTTTTCCTAGATCCTATGACCAGCTTCAACCAGCCAGTGGCAGAGTTGAGATTTTTGGCCCAAGTCCTCTAAATTATGATTCAAGGCTCTTAACAAATTACTATACTGCCCAGGCTACTGTGACTAATAACAGAGACTACGTCTGTGACTAGATATGTATCAACAAAATGAAGACTTTTCAACTAATCTCTTTTCTAATTTAAAAATGGCTCGTGGGAATGTGAATAACAACTTTCTCATTAAACACAACTTTATAAATTTAAGATAAAAATAACTTATACCTGACTGTAAAGCACACTACAAAGGCCAAAAGAATGCTCAGCAGCTTCTTTTTTTAATTAAAGTATAGTCAGTTGTCAATAATTATGATGAAAAAGCATGCACACTTAGCACAATTGGCATCTCAAATCATTGTATATGGTGCAACAGTTTCTTCCATTCTGTAAACTTTGTGTTTGTTCTTCAGCATCTTCAAGACACCTCTACAACCAGAGGTCAGTTTGTCGTGTTTGAATGCCAAGCCCAGGCCATAGCCGCTGTTCAGGTTCGCTGGTACAGAGAGAAAGAGCAGAGAGCCAACTCAGATGACTTCCAGATTATCAGAAAGAGTATCATGATAAGCTTTTCAATTGCTTTTAATTCTAATTAACCTTGAAATCTACTTCATGTTTTAAAGTTTAATATTTGATTTCTTACAGGTTTAATGATTTCTATTGTTAAACAATTGTTATTTCAAATCCAAATGATTCCTCAACAAAAACAACCAAAAAAGAAAAGATAGCTGTTTGTGCTGATGAAAGAATAACTTTAATAGCTGTGAAAAAACTGGTTTATTTTCATAAATTAATCTTAATTTTCTTTCTAATGAGTTCTTGGCATACAAACAACAAAGAAATGTGAAAATAAACATATTTCTTAGAGGGTAAAACAAATGAAAACTCATGTGTAACTTTCTAAATACTTACTGTGTAATTTTCCTACAAAATAATTAATTTAGAAAGGGAAACAAGTATGATGATCTACCTTATGCTAAACACTGAGTTTACGCCTTATAAACAATTCCTCATTTGATCCTCACATAAACATTTTGAAGTCTATGTTATCCCCATTTTATAAGAAAACTGAAATTAGAAATGCATCCCAAATCTAGTAAATGCTGAAGCCAGGGTTCAAGTCCAAGATAGTTCTTCTGTCAAATGAATAAAATATATTCATTTAAATATTAATTAATGTAGTTAATAGAGGCTGGAAGGGGAGGGGATGGGAAAGATAGAGAGAGGTTGGCTAATGGATACAAAACCACAGCTAGATAGGAAAAATAAGTTCTAATGGTGTATAGTAGTGCTAGGCATCTATAATTAACAATAATTTATTATATATTCTCAAATGGCTAGAAGAGACTCAAATGTTCTCACCACAAGGAAATAATAATTTTTGCAATGATGAATATGCAAATTACCTTGATTTGACCTTCACACCTTGTATACATGTATTGCCATAAACATGTACAATCAATGTGTGTGTATTAAAAAATAAATTTATTGAAATAAATAAATATTAATTCAAAACAACTGAATATTTGCACATCACACTTAAGAAGCATCTTTTTTTTAAAAAAGGATGTGGTACCTCCAATAACATTTATAGCATTTTTGAAAATAAAGTAATATAAATTTATTATAATAAATCCGGAAAATATATAACATAAAGAAAAAAACTTAAATTACCCCTATTCTCACCACCCTGAGAATTAACCTTTTTGTGTGTTTTTCTACAGTAATATTACATATTTTTATAATCTAATAGTCAATTTTATTTTAATAAGAGAGATTAAGAGAAAGGATTTCTCTTTGGAGAAAAAGGCCACCTTCAAGATTAGTGTTTCAGCAATGGTTCACATTCAGAGAGGAGGTATTTATCTGGTCTAACCTTCATGTTACAAATGAAAAACTAAGATCCAGAGAAGTAAAGTAATTTTCAAAAAGTCACAGAGCAATTTAGTGGTAGAACCAGGAAAAAATCAAGTTCTAGCACCCTGACAAGTATTTGTTTCTGAGCACCTTTTCTGAGTTTCTACAGAATTTATAGTCTGTGACTCCAGATTACACTATTTGCCTCCAGCTATTCCTCATACATACATAGCCCCTTCTCCCAACTAAATGAATTATCATAATTTAGATTATTTCTCTTTTCTTTTGTTTTATCTTTCAGAAGCTTATTTATCATCCATTCCTGGTAAGTACAATTTTTCAACATCTTGATAATCTATTAAATCAAAATTAGCATTAGAAGACTTTGTCTCCTAAGTCACTCTTGCCTTCATGAGCTCTTTTGAGGCTACCTTACAGCAGCTCTTGAACTGACACAGCAGAACAAGTGAGATAACTGGAATTTATCAGTGTATTTATTCATATATTCATTCATTTAACATATGTTTACTGAGGACAGACTATGGCTGGATTCTATAGTTGGCGCTAAGGAGACAGCAATGAACCAAACTGAACAAGGTCCTTGCCCTCAAAAAGCATGCATTCTCCTTCTAATTCCACTTGGTGTAGTATTTGTGACTCATGAACTATACACAGAGGCAGTAAGGAAGTGTCTTGACGTTAAACGTCCAAATTATTGACTGTTCAGGAAGCAGGTGTGGTGCCAATCACATAGTGGCCATCACTGTATTAGCATTAGGTCTAAGTACCATGGTAATGATAATTTTTAGGTCAGTTCAGAAAATATTTCTATAGGACTTTTATGATAATTATTAAAGGTACGGAAATCTAGAAGTCAAGGAATAAAGTGTAATCCCTGCTTTTGAGGAGACTTTTATGATAATTATTAAAGGTACGGAAATCTAGAAGTCAAGGAATAAAGTGTAATCCCTTTTGAGGAACTCATAGTCTAGTAGAGAAAACAGACGTGTCTGAGGGGCAGGTAATAAAGACCATGCTGGGACTGTTTTAGGTTGCATTTGTCTTTCTTTCTTTCTTTTTTTTTTTTTTTGTTTGTTTGTTTGTTTGTTTTCGGTTTTGTTTTTTAGGTTGTATTTTTAAGATTTATCTTCATGATCCCATTCAGAAGACAAAATATCTAATCAGACGTATTTTTTTTTAATCTCGGGAATACTCTATTTATTCCTTCTTCCTACTCTCCCCACCATTTTCCCACTCTGTTTGTTAACTTTGGGCATCCAAATGTGCTGATCAAGTTTAATTTCTTCCCTTTGAAGAGGAAATCTGCACCTTGATTATCACAGAAGCACTTTCTGAGGACTCTAGGGAGTTTAAGTGCATTGCAAAAAATAAGGCACTGAGACTGCAGTCTCTGAAGGAAAACGCTTTGTTTCCCCAGGTAATTACTCCTTAAAATCTCCTTGCTCCAATTCAGCCCTGAGCCAAGAAGAAGATTCTGTTTCTACCCGAACTGGTGATTAGTTATATTTTTAAGAAGGAAAAGAAATAGAAAAATCAGAGAGTTCTTCAAAGTTACCCATGAGCACATTTTCTCCAAAACTGACCACCTTTCCCTGGAGCAGTGAAGCTACACAAAGGACAACTCCAGACCATACCACGATAAACCTTATGCCAACTATTCCTGCACCAGCCAGTCACATTGAACATGAGATTCAGATTTCAGAGAAGTATTTCTGCACCATCAGTGGAAATTCCTCTGAACTACAACCACAATTTTAAGAGTAGACAGATCTAACATGCCCTCATTCAACAAATATTCCTGGTTCTTTAGACAGATCATGAAAAATCTCCTGCCCTCAGGGAGCCTGCATGCTGAGATGAACCATTTTAACTATGTCAAGTTCTCCCTTGCCCTTCAGGATGCATTCACCATGGCTGAAATAGTAAGTCTTGTGCTTAGATCCACACTTCAGGATTTGTTAAAGAGACCTATTTTTAAAAAAAATCATTAATGCTGAAATGGCACAAGATTTTGAAGAAGTAGAATCTCTTCCTAAAATAGAATTCAGTGTTCTATCTAAATATAAATATGTGAAACATTTTGTGATATGGGTTTCTTCATGATCACTAAAGACAGAATTGTCCTTGTGTTTAGAGGACAAATGTAAAAACGGAAAGATAATTCAGTTAAGTGGATTTGGAACCATGTTATGTTCAAAACAACACAATACACCACCATTCACCATCCGCCTGCCCCCAACACAAACCTCAACCCAAAATACTGATTTTTTTAAAAATCTAAAACTTTGGTGCTAAAAGTCATTTAAATTTTTTGTTTTAACAATATCTAACATACTCCACTAAATATTTTACTTTTATAAAAATGTCACCTTTAAATTAATTTTAGGTTAAACTCCTTCAACAAAACTTAAATCAGCATACTTGACTACTTAACTAGTACAACTAAATGCAGCCTCTGTTAGCTACAAAATAGATATTGGAAACCTTTTTGAGAAGAGATGTCTTAGGTAGTATTTAGGCCTATGAAATGAGAGGAAAAAAGAGTATACCATGTCAGATATGGAAGGAATCAGAGGCCATCTACTTTAAGTTCCTCATTCTACAAATGACTAAAAGTTTAGATTGGTTCATATTGTTGAGGGCTGGTTCTTCACGATTCTATGAAATTGCAATAGGTACTTCTCCAAGTGTTTCTTGCAATTAAGAGTGAGGCAAAGGCTTGGATTTAGAGACTAACAGATCTGGAACAAAGTATGTGAAGTACACAGTAGGTACTCAATAAATAGAATCTATTACTTCACTGAATACTGTTTCACTGCACTGGTGTTTTTTTCAGGATCAGTGTATGTCCAATAAGATCCTAATACTGTGATTTCTGAGTTGGTCTCTTTACCTTCTGAGATCTCTAGTTGCCTGAGCAGACTCCCATTTCATGTGAATCTCTCAGCAACTCTCTGATTTAGGTTGGTAAACCAGGAACTATCTTCAGTTTTCAGGTAGTTATTAAAGCTCAGAGTTTAAGCAACTTGTCTAGGGTTATACAGCAAGTATGGGGTAGAGTGGGCACTCATACTCGGGTCTCCAAAACAGATAATAAAAAGGTTAATTTGTCTAGAAAGCTGTATACCATTAGCCAAATTACTGTTATCATTTTTACTCTTCAGCTCTAAACGCAGGAGAGTCCATTATTATTTCTTGCTTGAAAAGAATACTCATATAAGATTGAGTCAAATGCTAGACTGGATATTTCAAATTACAAATGCTACAGTGGGATTCCATTACATCATATGTCTATGTAGAACTTCAAAAATCATAGTGAATTATGTGTAATCTGAAATAAATAAAACTTTCTTCACTCTTTAGTCCTTTCATCCTCAATGTGACATTTTCTTTCTCAGCTGATATAGCAGAAATGAGCTTCATTACACACATCTGACCACTGATTTTAAAAGAACTTCACAGCACCATTTTTACAATAGCACATACACTTTACATATTAAAAACAACAAGGCTATATATGGAAAGGAATGAATGAGTGACAGTTAAATAGCTACACTGTTTCCACTGATGATAGGACAAGGAATTCCCTTAACATGCAGCAGGAAAGGCTTCAGTGAGATAGTAGGAATATTTTGTGAGGCTTGAGAATGACTCACCAGAGGCCCTTACTGATAATTTAGAGAAAAAAAATAGAAGCTGTCTTGGATAAGTTGGAATAAGGTTCACCCACTTGGCATCTTAATGATTCCTCCAATCTTAGGAGTCTATGACTTTTCTCAAATATGCAACTAAACCATTCAAAGAGCTACACTTGTGAGGAAACATAAAACACCATTCAAAAAAGCAAACCAAACACTGAAAGACAGAAAAAAAGACTCATGAAATATTATTAAATATATATCCTTAACTGCTGAGAATGGCATCATAAAAGAGGGCCTACTTACCTTTCCTAAATCATCCCTTGATCTTCTTATTATAGCAAGAACTTCAGCCTTGATGTACCATGGAAGCTATTACATGAATTACACCACAACCCACATTATATACAAAGACCTAAAGAAAAGAAGAGTTAAAGCTTGAAGGAAAAAGAGCAAGTGGAACTAAAATTCTTCCTCAACTGTGGTACATTTAGAACCTGCCCTAAGCAAAATTGGGGATTTAACAGTTTGTCCTGGACATCTTCTGTACTTGGCTGGTGGGGTATATCTCAAACTTTTAGAACTAAGAGACCCCAAATATCATATTTCCTCTTCCATGCCCTAATCAAACCCTGTTCTCAGGCTGAACCAAATGTCAGTCACATATACCACATTTAAAATATTTAGAATAGTGTCTTACTCATGGTAAATGCTATATGTGTTAGCTATTATTATTTTTATTATGTCACTTGCACTTGAATTTTAAATCTCTCTAGTTTGGATTGAAAGGCATTGTCCCTATTAATGGAATTTAAAATATCAGTGAGCAGATGTGGAGAAATATTTTGGGAGACTCCTGAAATAAGACTTTGTAGGCAACCACCTACTCATCAAGTCTAGCATGCTTTTTCTACTAAGTAAAATCTGTGTGCCCAGGCGGCAATTATCAAATTGTTCTGAACCAAAGAAAGGTATACGTACATGGTCAGCTGGGAAGAATTTTATATGGTTCATATGTGCTCAAGCATCTATTTGTTGGATCCTAATGTATATGATAATCAAATCAATGTCTGGGTACCTACTCATGAGTGAGGGGAATTGAAGGCACTAAATGGAGGTGGTACTTCTTAATTGGCCTGATCCTCATGCTACTCACCCTATTCCACCACCTTTGTTGATTTAGATGTTTTGTCTTTTATAATTATTTACTTTCCTGCACAAAAAATGGAATCCTAAATACCATGATGGTCCTCGTGGCAAAAAGAGAAAGGAAACTGTACAATTGTTAGGAGTAAAGGAAGATGAAAGAAAAGAGCACTGACAGCCCTAATTGTATAGGATGCTTTTGGCAAAAAGAGAAAGGAAACTGTACAATTGTTAGGAGTAAAGGAAGATGAAAGAAAAGAGCATTGACAGCCCTAATTGTATAGAATGCTTTTTTTGTTTGGCACTGACAGCCCTAATTGTATAGGATGCTTTTTTTGTTTGTTTGTTTTTGTTTTTTCTTAAATGTTTCAAAACTCTTTTAGAATAAAAGTACTAGGTCAAAGGGGTATATGACATAAAGATTCAGAAAACTTGCTGAAGAAGACAAATCATATTTTCCACCTCTCTACCTTCCCAGTGACATTTCACCATGACCCTGCTCTCCTGCCTCTGCCCAGACCACCTCTTGGAACAAATTGTTTAACCCCACTCTACCCTCACTCTCAGATAAAGGCAAAAGAAAAAAGGCCTTCATATGAAGAATTATGCATACAAATAAATTTGGAGCCCATTCGTCACTGGCCTTATCAGTGGAGAAGTTCTACTAGATAGAAAAACCCCAGTCTTAGAATATTATTTCCATTGTCTCTTCAACAGGGAAAATTCAAAGCCTCCATCACTGCTCTTCCTCTGCATGAGCTTGTTGAGCTCATAGTCAAAATTCATGTCTAAAATAAAGAGGCCTGCAAGAGAAGCTCATGTAATCCCACTCCTTAAATATCACTAGGACATCTGAGATATTGTTTAGATTGCGGACTCTTACTTTGACATGCCAGCATAAGTAGATGGACAGGCAAGCACATCAGATGTCACTGTTTGGCAGCTGATAAAAGTCAGTGGTGCTATAATACTAAGCACAGAGCCACTAGATTAGTCTGTGAGGGAAGGGGATGCCTCTTCCTTCCCTTCAACAGTGAATTAAACTCATCTGGCACCCTCTGGAACTACGGGTAAGTCCCTTCTTTATTCCTGCTACAGTTTAGGGATTTGTTTTTGTTTTTTATACAAATTAGAGGAGTATGTACAAAGGTGATCTTCAGATAAAAAGTCTGAAAGCACAACATCATAATGATATTATATGAAGACTTAAAGAGAAAGTGACCTATTCATTCCACTGAAAGAAGAAGGCATTATAGAAAAGATAGAGGGAAAGACATTTGTGTGTCATTATTTTTAAATCATCATTTTTCCTCGAAAAGGGACACTTGATCTGACTGTAATTGTGATAATGTCCTATAGGGCCTCAAAATATTTTATCAGTCTTATTGTACAAGTCTGTGGTATATTAGAAACAGAAAAAAATGTTAAGATTTTTTTAAATAGGAGACTAAATAGTATTTTATTTATAAAATCTTTGGAATTTAACATTATTTGGAATAAAACAATAGAATTTGATATAGAATTAATATAATAGAATTTATTATGGAATTGCCATGTAATAGAACTTACAGAATTGAATTGTTGAACAGTAACTACAAACATGAAGAAAAGCTTTTTAGAGTTATCTGTATAAAATTTTGTTAAGCCATGGATAAAATGAAACTCAAAAGAACATGTTTTTAATTGAGCTTTAAAAAATATCAGTAAATGTAGGCCAACACCAAAATGTACAAGACAGTTGACATTCTGAAAACATAAGTAAAGAAAATTAGAAAACTCTTTTTGGAAAATATTTACTGGCTATTTCTTAAACAGTCTAATCCTTGCTATTTGAAACAAGTCCGAATAATTTGCTTGCCCAGCAAGGAATTTAGGAACCAAACTCTGGATTAAATTCTGCAACTGAATGAATAAACCCATAATAATACTACTGACCTTGAAATAGAGTTGAAGCCCTCCTTCTGGATGTTTTTCCCCCAAAATGTAAAGTCCTAGGGTAGTTCATTTCTAAAATGCACTCTGGATGAATGTGTTTGTATTCATAAACTTGAAATTAAGAAATATATAATTTTTAAGGGTTCTTTTCAATAGTCTTTCTCTTGGCTCTTTAGTTGCATTTTTGTTCTTTTCTAAAACTGCTAAGTTTTAATTTAACCTTAAACTACATACACAACTTTAGAATGAAGTTGTTTGGTCTGGAAAAGTTTCATTAACAATATTTTCTTTAAGCTAGTAACTTAAATAATTACAAGACTTTGTTTCAACAATAAACAGCTTGGTTAATTTTTTAATTAAAAGTTTGACTTATTATCTTAGTGTTCACGTATACTATGTGAAACAAACTAAATGTATTTTGAATTAAATGATCTATTTTGAATACAAATAGGATCAATGTTAAAGTTCATAGGGGTCATCCTTGTGTGTAATGTCTATATATAGTCCTACTTAGGTTTACCTAATGGAAAAAATCAGAGGCAAATTTAATCCTTCAAAGCTAATTTTAGTGGTAAACAATTCATCTAAGGAAAAATGGGAATCTACTGTAGAAAGGCAGGAGGATCAATGCAGAGCTAAGAGAAATGGCACCCATCTTTTCTTGGTAAGGCATAGACTAGCTTCATAGGTGCCTTATTTACTTTTATACTTCCTGTTTGCCATTTGAAAAGAAAAAGTGAAAGAATAGGTAAAAATAAGTTCAAAATTAATCTAAAGTACATACTAAACAAGAAAAAAAATAAAAACTCTAAATAATTAAAAGAACATCAAGACCCATAACTAGAAAGTATAATCTAAAAATAGTTTTTAAAATTTACAAATGGCTCGGAAATGCAGTCTGTACCATACATTATACACACACTTAGTTATTCCTTAATTAATTTGGTATTATGGTCAATTTGGAATCAAGGAAAGAAAAAAGGCAGTAAAAATAAAAAGTAAAAAAATCCACTCAAAGTTGACAACAATGAATTGTAGATGTTCACTCTACTTCGTAAAATTGAGAAAGGGTGAAGGAGTAAATATGAACATTAAAGTAAATGTTCTTTACCAAAGAATCATATTGCCTCCATTGGTTTACCAAGATGTTATTCATCAGAAACCATCAGAATATAGATTAATTGGCATATAAGAAGAGCTGTTTTTTGTTGTTGTTTTTTGTTTTTTTGCATCTCCAGTTAAAATTCTTTTTTTTTTTTTCCTTTTTGTCTTTTTTCATAACCGGTAACGGGATCGCAACCCTCAGTGTCATGCCCATACCGCAACCGGCAACGGGATCGCAACCCTCGGTGTCGCGCCCGCACCATGCTCAACCAGTGAGCAGACCGGTCTCTATATGGGATCCAAACCCTCAGCGGGAGCGCTGCCGCACTCCCAAGCGCCGCACTCTACCGAGTGCGCCACCAGGCTGGCCCTAAGAAGAGCTGTTTTGATGAGCAATCAGAAGAATTCAGACTGAATGGAAGTTGACATGTTATATATATTTAACTGCTATTAATTTTAAATCATTAAATCTCTGTGGTTAATGAAATTGCAGCCTATGAGAAAAAGCTAATCATGAGGCCATAAAACTATCACACAAGCATCATCACAGAATTTCTTTTCATAATAAGCACTTGGAAAACTCAACTTTGTTCTCCTACACTTTGAAGCCCCTGACCATGCTTTCACCCAGGGACAAACAAACCCTAATAAATCCTTTTTCTTATTCTGAGAGGAAAAGTTATTTGTACAAAGACAGAGATAAAGGAAAGTCTAGAAGCCAGGAAAGTTCCACCTTGAAGAAACCTTAAAAGCACATAAGCTAAAAAAATAAAAAGTACATAAGGTCCTAAAGAAGTCAAATAAATAAACAGTATTGTTGTTTAAGCAAATATTGTAACGTAATTATTTTCTCCTTTTGAAGGAACAATATTTTTCAAGAGAAGCCCATTCCATCAAATCCAGGAGCACAGTATTCTCAAGATCTCAACAAGGAGGGGCAGACCAAAGCTGCTTCTGATTTCTTGCGACCTTCCATAATACCAAGTTTGCAGCCCCAAATTCAGGACCCTAAACGTAATTATTTTCTCCTTTTGAAGGAACAATATTTTTCAAGAGAAGCCCATTCCATCAAAGCCAGGAGCACAGTATTCTCAAGATCTCAACAAGGAGGGGCAGACCAAAGCTGCTTCTGATTTCTTGCGACCTTCCATAATACCAAGCTTGCAGCCCCAAATTCAGGACCCTGTCCTTCCAGGAAGAAATCATTTTAGTACTAACTTGCCTTCATCTTCCATATACCACCTAAGCATGTTTAACTACGAACGTCCAAAACACTTTATCCAGTCCCAAAACCCATGTGGCTCCAGACTGCAGCCTCCCGGACCAGAAACACCCAGCTTCTCTAGCCAGACCAAACAGTCTTCCATTATCATCCAGCCCCGCCAATGCACAGAGCAAAGATTTTCTGCCTCCTCAACAATGAGCTCTCATATCACCATGTCCTCCTCTGCCATCCCTGCTTCTCCCCAGCAGCTTCCTGGTGCCAACCCTGGCCAAAGGGTTACAGCCACCTATAACCAGTCCCCAGCCAGCTTCCTCAGCTCCATATTACCATCACAGCCTGATTACAGTAAAATCCCTTCCACTGTGGAATCCAAGTAAGTGAATTTTTATATGATGCATACACAGTGGGCTTATATCTGAGGAGTTTTGGGGGTATGCTGCAGTTCATTCTTTACTATCTAAAAAGGCAATGTTACATTCCGTAATTGTCTCATTCCATAATTCTTCCAGAACACATCAAAGCAGGGTACTGGCAATAAGAGATTATCTGACCCGTTCTCCAGTGTCCAGGCTGATCTAAACCCAGACCACCTATTACCCTATACAATTACTAACCTGTTTTTTCCATATTTGAAAAAAATAGATTTCTAACATACCCAAGAACAATGAACTTTAGTTCTAAGCTAAGTTCCTCATACTGTAAATTTAATTCCTCTGATTCTGGACTCAGCTGAGATGAACACCTGTCTGCTCTTCTTCAGATAGGATTTCCTTCCACATAAGCAAAAGCTATTAAGTTTCTTCTCAGCCTTAGTCTTTTCTTCCTATCCATTTTCCCCTCTAATCCTGAATATCCATTTGGCTAAAAATAATTTTAAGTTAACAAATAAAGAAAATCTAGGATTCATATACTCACGTGTATGAATTTCCTGACTATGACCAGAAAGAGGAAGGCTTGAATAGATGAAGGCTTATGACCTTTAGGTTTCCTTTGGTAATTAAAACCATACCTTGTTCAAATTGGTTGGGCTAATCTAAACACAGCAAAGAATACCTGCAGCCTTATGCAAGCATGTACTATTTCCATAGCCCTAACACTGTCCTAAGAGAACCCGATACAAAGAAGAACATAGTGGTTGTACTTTTTTTAAAACATGAACTGAATACTTTATGCTTATGCACACTTGGGGCTATCAGTTTTCCTGTTCCTCTGCTGGCTAGAACATCAGAGAACTAAATCAGAGGCATCTCAAAATTTGTCTGATGGAATATGTTTTGTTACAAGCTTATTGACACATTCACAGAAACTCTTGCTAATTTTTCTGTCTTCTCTAGAGGCTAATTTTTTTAGAAATTCCTATTACTGGTGACAACTCAGGAAACCTAGTTGAACTGACTATGGCAATTCAACTTACAAAGAAATCTTTTCAATATTTTTAAAAATAAAAATCAGTAAAGCCAAAAACATTTGTTAGAATCCTACAGATATTAGGCTGAACTATTTGAAATGGCTGATAGTCAACTGTTTTTGACCTACAAAAACAGCATCCTATGAGGCTTGACCTAATGCTTTAAAATATGCCTTCAAGAAGAACTCTCTCTCTCCCTTCCTCCACAAATTCCCAATATACCTATATCATACATTGTAGATCTTTCTTGGTTACATTTACCCATATGATCATTTTTCCATCTCACTTTCTATTATTTCCAAATTTCCTACATGAGCATTTTTTTTATTTTGCTTTTCAATATACATTGTAGTTGATTTTCATGCCCCTTTACCCATTTCTCTCCACCCTACATGAGCATTTTTAAATCTAAAATAACCTTTCCTAGTATTTTTCCATAATATTTTTCCTAGTAAAGACCAAATCTTTTTTCCAAATTCCTGCCCAGAAAAGAAAGCTATCAAACAAATATCCACTGAACCGAAACCACGTACCTGGTTCTGTGCACAAATGTAAAATGAGAGGAAGAAAGGCAAAAATGGAAAGAATGAGAGATAAAGCCCAGGAGGTCCCCAAACCAGAGATCAAAGATCTAGCTTTAGCTGTTCCATTTTCAGCAACTATAGATAACTCTTTTAATCTTCCCATAGCTACTTGATACTCATTCCATGTCCAGCTGTACAGGGTGGAAAGCCCTGACCCTTTGAACATTTGTGCACAACTCATCTCTCTCATTGTTATGATGGGCTCAAGTTTGCTCTGTCTTCTGAAATAATCCCTTGGATTCTGACCTAGAAGAATTTGAAAGCTTTATTTAGCTTTTCATCTGTTGGAAGCCCTTAAGAAAACATTTTATTCAGTTGATCAAACCACAGACTGGAAATTGAGAGGAACTCTTTAATTATTCCTTCCAAAAAGCTTGCACTGTGACATTCAGCAAGTACCTTACCTGCTCGGTGACTCAGTTTTCTGATCTGTAACAAAATTAAGGATTTAGATAACTAATGAGAAGGGAAAAAAGACCTATAAAGCAGTGTACAAGTATAATACAAGTATTAGTTTAAACATAGGAGCAGGTATCAAATCCTAATTTAGATGGCTTAATAGTAAGGGAATAATGGGGGTATTCAGTGAATAAACTGATGAGGTCACATATACATTAGTGATTCTCAAGCTTGGTTTTGATCATCTTTCGGGTTTCTTAGATATATTATGACAGTCTTAAAACATAATTATTTGGGGCTGGCCAGTTACTCAGATGATTAGTGCGTGGTGCTGATAACACCAAGGTCAAGAGTTTAGATCCCTGTACCAGCCAGCAGACCAAAAAAAAAAAAGTAAAAAAACCCAGCAAACTTAATTATTTAATACTAATTCACTTTAACAAACATGCATGACTTTTATAAAGACAGTAAACTAGCATTTAAAAAACCCAATAGGTTAATATAATTTAATACAGGTGAAGAAAAATGAAATCTATAAAAACAAAGGAATTCAATCTTTTTTTAAAAATCTCACTATTTATTTAAATACATTGTTTTGCTATTTACCTAACTAAACAGATCAGACTTCAGTTGAAGACAAATATAGACAACTATGAAGATCTGAAGATCTGAAATGTAAAGAGGGGAAATGTGTATCATCGACTTTTGATACAAAATATCTTGAACAAATGAAAAACATTCATTCATTCAACTGGTAGTATCTCCTATACCAGTGTTTTGTGTTAGTTGATATAAATGATACAGTATCTTTTTTTTCTTCAGTATGTTTACAATTTAGTGATTACTAACCAAGTCCCCAAAGCCAGCAAAAGTTAAAACCCTGGCTCCACTCAGGAGATTCATTTCCTCTTAGCTCACAAGTACTTTTAATGATCCTTAAGAATATTCGGATAAGAACATGTCAAAGAAGACACCAAGATTGTCTCATCTGGATAAATGGAGAATGTTTATTATACTAATAGTAAACTATTCATTGAGGGCAGCAGCCAGTTTTCCCACATTAAACAGATTGATATAAGCTAGCCCCTGTGAGGCCCTAAATAAACAAGATAGGTAAAAACTGAATAAGGCACCGTGAAGAGGGTGAGCTACCTAACAGATCCCAAAACACAGGATTCCCTAAATACTGCCCCTGTCATCTATCAGAATGAACAGGGTAACTTTGGGAGAGGCAGATGCCAAGAAAATTTAGACTCAAAACTTGAAATAAGAACTTAAACCAAACTCTTCAACAGCTACTCAAATTTGCTTCCCCCCCACCAAACTCCATTTTTTGTTTATATATCTTTCTCCTTCTTCTTCTAATCATCCCTTTCTTTCTTTAAAAATTACTTCAACAATATTGAAGAAACTGTCATTACTTTAGAAGTTATTTGTTATATAACTTAATTTTCTAGCATAATCGAATTTTCTAGAATATGAAATTAATAAGAATTGGAAATTAACAGGAAAGTCAGAAACTGTGTAAACTTTAGACTGCACTCAAAACAATAGAATATTCACTAAATACCAGTGGTGTGCTGGTAAATGTCTAACAATCAGCTCTGGAGAAAAAAGCCATGATTTGTGGTACTAACCAATTTCCCTGGTGTAAACATATCCACCACCACCAATTTCAAACTATAACGTGAGATCACAGGTAGCTGAGAAGAGATGCTGAAAACCAGCTCTCTCACACCCATATGAGCCAGCTCTAGTACGCCACTGCTTAATATGTATCCACAAGTCAAACTTAAAAAATTCAATTGTAATACTGGAAGAAGTCTCAAGCTGCTATTATCTAGACATATCTCATATTCTTTACGGAAGACCTTCAGGAAAGGACATCCTCCTTATGTCTAAATTTCTTTCCTCCTGCCTCTTGATTTTTATTATCCAAGAGAAAGAAGAAAAAAAAAAGGTGGTAACCATTCTTATAAAATCCTTCTTGACTGTTATTAGGGCAATTGGTATTTTTAATAATACTAGTAGTACTAAGCGGTAAACTCAATGTATCTTAAGGTGGCTTATAAAATGAGGCCAATTCTGTTTTAGATACCACATCTTAAAGATCTTCTTTTTAAAAAAATTTTTTCTGTTTCTTTTTTAAAGCTATCAATCTTCAGTTGGCCAACCTGCCAATGCTAAGCCATCCCAAACTGCAAATTCTAAGCCCACACCAAGGACTCCTGACCATGAAATACAAGGATCAAAAGAAGCTTTGATTCAAGATTTGGAGAGAAAGTTGAAATGCAAGGACACCCTTCTTCATAACGGAAATCAAGTGGGCAAGAAGTCTATTTTGTACAAAAGGCCAATTAAATTATAAAATCTAATTTCAATTAGAAAGTTTTTTCTGGGCCGGCCCCGTGGCACACTCAGGAGAGTGTGGCGCTGGGAGCGCAGCGACGCTCCCGCTGCGGGTTCGGATCCTATATAGGAATGGCCCGTGTGCTCTCTGGCTGAGCACGGTGCGGGTGACACCTCACCAAGGGTTGCGATCTCCTTATCGGTCACGAAAAAGACAAAAAAGAAAAAGAAAGTTTTTTCTGGGCCGGCCCTGTGGCACACTCAGGAGAGTGTGGCGCTGGGAGCGCAGCGACGCTCCCGCTGCGGGTTCGGATCCTATATAGGAATGGCCCGTGTGCTCTCTGGCTGAGCACGGTGCCGGTGACACCTCACCAAGGGTTGCGATCTCCTTACCGGTCACGAAAAAGACAAAAAAGAAAAAGAAAGTTTTTTCTGTCTCACAGATTTATGTCCATATAATCAACAAGGAGTAGGATCGTCTGAAAAAAGGAATATTTGGGTCCTATTCCGTATCAGTCTGCATGAAATCACCTCTTGGTTTTCAGCAGTAAAAGCAGCAAATGAAAAAATCAACCTGAATGATTAATGAAAATTTTCTGTTTTAAGCACTTCCCTCTCATAAAATATGTCTGTTGGCCAAATAACTAATGGGAAATACTATCAACCTAATTTCTTCACATACTTTGGTGTATAATACTGATGGACAAATAATTATAGCTATAATTCTTATTATGTAGCTCTTACTGTGCACATTGTGTTATTAGTTACTTATCTTTGAAACAGTACTGTATGCCTTTAATTCCAATACATTTTGCATATCAGTCAGAAATTAGTACAGTCAAATATTCAGTGTTTATTTCATAAAAGTTATTTCTGAATGTGAGGATGTGTAGTACTATATACAAAAACAGACCAGATTGGAACATGCACAACAAGGAGGAAGGGAAAGAATTTCCCTCTACTTGGGAGAGCCTTATTTAAGGGTGATTATGCCTGCCTTTCTTAGGAGCAAAAAGAAAGCCTAAGAGAATCTTTATTATAGATGAGGGAAGAGGTACTAGAATGGAAGGAAAATGCTTTGAACAAAAGAAAGGCTTTTTCAAAAAACACAGTCTATTTATAATTCAATAAATAGCACTATACTTCTTTGAAAGTTCTGACTTAGAGTGGCAATTTTAAAGTAAATCTGTACAAATACCTTTTATTAAATCTCACTCCTATCTCCTTAATGACTTATTTCTTTAAAGCGGCTAACATATGAGGAGAAGATGGCTCGAAGATTGCTAGGACCACAGAATGCAGCTGCTGTGTTTCAAGCTCAAAATGACAGTGATGCACAAGATTCACCACAGGTAAATGAAAATAATCTTTATCGTATCTAGCATTGAGAGAAGGCAGCTGTGCTGGATGGACTATCAACAGGAACACCGGAAGAAGTGTTATACTGGTGAAAAGATCTGCAAAGACAGATGACCTGATTCTTGGTATTTCTACTTAAGAATTGTGCAACTTGGGATCACTTACCTGTATCTTAATTTTCTTACCTTTTCCCTGCCTACTTCAGAGTTACAGTGAAGACCAAATGAAAACATACATGAAAGTACTTTATAAATAGTAAAATGCAGGCCGGCCCGTGGCTCACTCAGTAGAGTGCGGTGCTGATAACACCAAGGCCACGGGTTCGGATCCTATATAGGGATGGCCGGTTTGCTCACTGGCTGAGCGTGGTGCTGACAACACCAAGCCAAGGGTTGAGATCCCCTTACCGGTCATCTTTTAAAAAAATAAAAAATAAAAAAATAATCTTTATCTAACTGGATCACCTTTATTCTATGCGATTTTTAAATGTCTGCTTTTCTAAATGCTTATAAATAGCATTTGAAATAAAAGTTAATTACTTTCATTCTCCATTAGATATACAAAGGCCAAGATGAGCCAAATATATGTATATATAAATTTAATATTTTACCCATTTTCTAGCAGTTCAAATATCTGCATCTGAAATGTCACAAAGTCAAAACACCAGAAAGTTAATGGTATCACTTTTTATCTGGATACTTAGGGGTTGGTTAGATCTATGACTCTTTCTATAATATCTACATGAACAGAGGATTTATAAGTTGTGAATCTTTAACAGGACAGAAGTTAAAACTCTAAACCAAAGTAATTATAACCTTTTCTCATAAGCTGTTTATCATTTGAAAGTTTTAAAATATATTCATTGTACTACTGAAACATCCAATTCCTTTTGTCATGTTCCTGTGTTCAAAAATGCTTCTTACTAAAACAAACCAGCCAAAAAAAAAAACCCATATGAGTAATGGCTCTAAAATGAACAAAAGATTCCTTTCCAAGAAGGGATTAACTTTATGGGGGGCATAAAATGAATATGCCACAGTCTTGTGCCTGACCAACTTGATTTCAACAAGTAAACTTAACCCGAAGAGAAATGTACAGTTGGAGAGGCAGACTCAAGTGTTATTGCTCTTTCCTTCTTCCGGAGTTACCTCTCATTCCCTCCCAAAAAGTCCACAAGAAACTGGGAGCCAAGGGATGAAACTAGGAACTCAAGGAGTGCAAGTTTCCAAGTATAGAAAACTGAAAGTAAGAGTTTTGTTTCTGTTAAATCCAACTAGACCTCCTAAAAAGGATGGAGCAAGTTATAGCAGAGCAAGAACTAGAAACTGAAAAGAAAACTTTTAAATTTCTTTTTGGCTACTGAACAGTTCATGCATTCATTCATTTAGCTGATTTACATGGACCACTTGTGTGCTGGGCTCTGGACTTGTTATGGGAGATTACAAAAAGAATAAGATATAAACCCATCTCTGTAAGAGAAATTACTCAAAGCAATGTTATATTGATGATAGTTTATGTTATAAATACACAGTATATAATTCCAAGGGCAAGGATGTATTGTTTTTCTCATCATTCTTTAGAACCTTTAAAATGAAGGTGATAGTACCAGGAAAAAAGTTAGCAGTAGAAACATATTATGAAGTCAAAAAAGATAAATCTTGTATGTTTTTGTATACTTCAAATGTAATACCCAAATAAGACAAAATGTCATCAAGCTATGGTATAACTGAAATACCAAATCTCTGAATATAACTATATACATGTTCAAACCAAAAAAGTCAAAAACTTAATTTGGATATTTTGAGCTCAATTATTTTCATTTTTTTTACCCCCCAAAAATTAGTTGATTTGTTTGATCATTGAATTGGCCAGTTGTTTTCATCTTTTGCATTAAATACTTTAAGGCTAGCCAAAAATTGTTACAGAGTTGTAAGACTGTTTTTTGTTGTTGTTGTTTGGTTTTCGTGGCTGGCAGGTACAGGGATCCAAACCCTTGACCTTGGTGTTACAAGGTGGTGTTCTAACCAACTGAGCCAACCGGCCAGCCAAAGACTATTGTCTTAAAATGACAAAATACATTAACTTAACAGATTTCTCCCAAAATAAATTATTTGTAGTCAAATTTTCTTTGTTTTTATACAGACGTATTTCAGGTATTTGGGTTGGGACTATACTTTCCACTTCTTTGTATCTTGCACTATTGCCGAGCACAGTGAAATACACAGAATAGGCATTAAATATTTAATCAATTAATTAATTATAATTTTCATCAGTTCCTGATTTTATTCTCAAATAGAAATAATTTTCTGGTGCTCAGATATAAATCTTAAAAGATGTTTTCTTAAATTAAATATACCTTTATTAAAGAGGATATAATGAATGCTGTTTTTCAGTTTTTTCATAGCTCTACACATATCTTCCATGATGTCCAACAGCATTTTGTGCCACAAGTTAAAAAGAGAAGTATTTTCCAGTCTAATATGTGTATACTGTTGTTGGTGCCACTTTTGAGCAGTAGACATGATACCCTGTATCTACTGCCAACACAAATGACTTCATGTCTATTCCTGTATTACTAAAGGACAATCCGTACTATGTGCTCCCATTTCAAATATACCAGGAGGACACACCATCCTTTATCATAAAATAGTCATCTGAAAAATGAACCACTATCAATTCCACTTTTAGCTAATTTTCATAAATAGTACCTGTTGAATAGTCCTATTAATTCTGGGGATTTCTTGCTACAGTAGTAGTAGGTTAGTAAACTATATTTTAAATGTTTAAAAGCTGACTATATAGAACTAACCATGACTATACAAATATATACAAAATAGAAATGTTTCTTTCAACTATAACTACTTAATTCTGCTTCATTTCAAGTTAACAACTGCATGTTAACATTATCACTTTGTTTTAATTTCAAACAGCACAACTCAGAACATGCACGACTGCAAGTTCCTGCATCACAAGTAAGGTAAAAATTTTTAAATTTCTTAAAAATATATATGTTTTGCTATCTAAAACATCTTCAGCTTAAAAATGTAAGCTCTTAAAGTGAGCTCTCAAGCTCACTACATACCTTTTTAAAAACACAATGTGAATTTTCTAATGTTTGAGATGATGATCAAAATTTTTATGTTAGGGCCGGCCCGGTGGCGCACTGGATGGTGCGCCGCTTGGGAAGCGCGGCGGCGCTCCCGCCCGAGGGTTCGGATCCCACATACAGACCAGTTCCCGCTCACTGGCTGGGCGAGGCGCGGGAGCAACGCCGGGGGTTGCGATCCCGTTGCCGGTCCCCGGTCCGGTACGGGGGCAACACTGAGGGTTGCGATCCGTTGCCAGACCCGGAAAAGGACAAAAAAAAAAAATTTTTATGTTAATTGTCAGAACTATCTCAGAGGAAGTTTTCTGGTCCCCGGTCCGGTACGGGGGCAACACTGAGGGTTGCGATCCGTTGCCGGACCCGGAAAAGGACAAAAAAAAAAAAATTTTATGTTAATTGTCAGAACTATCTCAGAGGAAGTTTTCTAAATATTTTGATCAAATAAGCCAGAACCATGTTTCCATGTTAAACAACCTTCTCATGACAATGAAACCCAATTCTAATAATACAATCTTTGCAGATGATAAGAAAACCTATGGGTACTCTGTATTTTAACAGATCAACTTCTTCATCAATTCACGGCACTGCAAAAAAGAAAAAAAAGATGTACACTTTGTACCAGATGTTTCTAGAGTGTTATTTCTAATAGTCATCAAATATGCCATATCTAAAGATAGCCCTAAGGTTTCTATCCATTGTTATTACACTATCAGATCAAACAGTAGACTCCGAGTTTTGAAATTTGATGGCTAAACTATATTTGTGTGAAAGGAAAAGCAATGACAACATTTATGCATAGTTATTATTAAAATATTTTTGTAGAAGTAGATCATCCTCAAGGGGAGATGTGAATGATCAGGATGCAATCCAGGAGAAATTTTACCCACCACGTTTCCTTCAAGTGCCAGAGAACATGTCAATTGAAGAAGGAAGATTCTGCAGAATGGACTTCAAAGTAAGAGAAGAATTCAAAAGTATTGGGGGGAAATCAACAATGGGATAACTAAGTTATGAAAATTGTCCTCTTTCTACCTCATAGCTTGCCACATAGCTTGAAAAGCAGTGTGTACGATGGATAAGAACACAAATTCTGGAGCCAAGCTGAGCAGGGTTTGAATCCTGGCTCTGCCACGTTTCAACCATGTAACCTTAGACAACTCATGTAACCTCTTTGTGCTTTTGTCTCCACATCTGTAAAACAGGAATAACAAATATACATACATCATACATTTATGAAAATTAACTGAGTAAATAGATATACCTGTTAAATACACTGTGTAAGTGAAACTATCACAACAATAGGATTTCTAAAGTAGAATGCCTCTCTAATTCTCCTCTACCAAGAAATTCAAGCCATCCTGCTTTTCTTGGCCTGGAAAAGTTCTTCAGGCTAGAATAGCTTTCTAGAATAGTCCACATTTTTAGTATCCTCATTTTGGGGAACTCTTTCTTGTAAAACGTTTTTCTGATTCCTTATGAATGGAAGTTAGTGTTAAGACTTAACATTAACTACATTTAATTGTTAAGGCTTATACAAGTATAAAAACATTTAACAAACTATCATTTATATACTAAATTATAGCTCAAGAACACTGTTTTAGACAAGTTATTCATTAGGTCAGCAAGCCCCATGTACATGTGCCTCTGGGATTTCATTTGCAGTCACAATTAGCCAGAAAAGCCATATGACTTCCATATTCCTTGTGGAGACCAATATAACATAAATTAATATTCTAAATATTGTAATTAAGAGAACTTAAAGAACCTGAGGTTGCATGTGAAAGAGCTAAATGTGACTTAAGATAGTCTGAAAATACTACATTAATTTCAAGGGTTTAATTTCTACTGTTTTGTTTTAAAAATTATAAATACCTTTTTGAGCTCTTGCTTTGCATTTTCAATCACAAACCCACTCAGATACTGGAATTGTTAAAATTCATAATGAAGAAATGGGTTCCAGCAATGCAATACCTTAAAATTCTGTCATCTCCTTGTATTTTTGTTTCAAGGTGAGTGGACTGCCAGCTCCTGATGTGTCATGGTATCTAAACGGAAGACCAGTTCAATCAGATGATTTGCACAAAATGATAGTGTCTGAGAAGGGTTTTCATTCACTCATCTTTGAAGTGGTCAGAACTTCAGATGCAGGGGCTTATGCATGTGTTGCCAAGAATAGAGCAGGAGAAGCCACCTTTACTGTGCAGCTGGATGTCCTTGGTAAGCATCCAAAGAAATCCTTGAGAGCTTAAAATCCAGCAATGAAAAAGCAAAAGTATTTTAAAAGAAAGTATTTTAAAAAGAAAAGTCCAAGGACTTCATAGTTAAGGTTAATGTCTACACAATCTAGTGAAATGCCAATTTTTACCTACAAGCCACAAAACAAAAAAGCCAAACAAACAAACAAAAACATTATTGGGGAAAAGTCAGTGAAACTATGACAGATCTACCACCAGAGCTTTTCTGGAAAGGAAATAAAGAAATTGTATAATTTTAGACAGACTAAATAAAGTAGTATAATCAATTCTAGACATAACTATAGGGTCTCAAAGTGAAAAACTTAGTCTAATCATTTCTCTGGTCTACCGTCTAAAATAATCAATCTGACTCATGTTTTCACACATTGTGTCATAATTATACAAATGCATAGTTCAAAACTGAAGAATAAACATCAACTTAGCCTTAGACTATGTTATATTTACTAGGAAACTAGTCTCTAATTATAACAAAAACATGCGTACTTGCTTTAGAAAACAGGTATGACAAAACTCATATCAGATTTGTCCTTAGTAGGACAGTTCTTATGAAACTGGTCTCTGGTTTAAAATTTTTACAATTTAAGCGCTTTAAATATAACACATTTGTAATGATTTAAGCCATGGTGTATTGCATAAGAGACATTTTGCTATAATTTACTGTTTACTATATAAGATCTTGATTGGGTTAAAGGATAAACAATTTTCTTGGGTTTGCATTCTACCCAATCAATGAAAAATCCCTAAGATTATTCTATGATATACTGAGGGGTCTCAATATAAGGGAACAACTAGTAAGCTAGGAATAAAAAACAAACACACACACACACACACACACACACACACACACACACACACATGATTTAAAATTCACTCGACATGGCAGTAAGCTAGGAATAAAAAACAAACACACACACACACACACACACACACACACACACACACATGATTTAAAATTCACTCGACATGGCTCATGCAGCCAAGAGAGTATTCGAATCCTAGTTGTCTGGTATTCTTTCCACCACTCAGGCTGCCTCCCTACAGATGAGATGATAAATCAGAATATGAGTGAAACATGATTATAAATTCAATGAATTACTGCATTATAGTTTTAGAACTCTGAATGGTATAGTAAAATAGTATTGGATATTATTTTAACTAAAACAAAAAAAAGTTTCCAATCCTATTGTTGTTTTTTAAAACTTTAATATCAACATACAAATTTTATAATACTTTCATTGGATTTAATATCATTCTCACATTTCAAATTCTTGAATTTTTTTATTAATATGTAGCAAAAGAACATAAAAGAGCACCCATGTTTATCTACAAACCACAGAGCAAAAAAGTTTTTGAGGGCGACTCGGTGAAACTAGAATGCCAGATCTCGGCTATACCGCCACCAAAGCTTTTCTGGAAAAGAAATAATGAAATGGTACAATTCAACACTGACCGAATAAGGTAGGATAAGTACTTTTAGACTTATCTATAGTTTATATGGATGAATCCAGTTATACTTTAACATACATTATATGTAGTATGCAATTATAATATCAATTTGTCTAGTTTTTAAAACATATAATAAAACTTCATTAAGCCAGATTCCACCAATCAGAAATGTATGGCATAAAGTAGCCTAGGATTTACCTTTTTACTAACAATAAAGAAAGATGGTTCAAGGAAATAAACACCATAAACAAGTTTAAGGAGGGATGTTTAATTCAAGAAAACCAGTAAGTATTTGGCAATGACTAGACACAACCTAGAAATTTTTAAATTCTTCTTTTTCTTCTTATAAGTATGACTCTCTAGGTCAAAAATTTCACTTAATGGGCCGGCCCGTGGCTTACTCGGTAGAGTGCGGTGCTCATAACACCAAGGCCCCGGGTTCGGATCCCACATAGGGATGGCCGGTTCGCTCACTGGCTGAGCGTGGTGCTGACAACACCAAGTCAAGGGTTAAGATCCCCTTACCGGTCATCTTTAAAAAAAAAAAAAAAAAAAAAAATTTCACTTAATGAAACTTGCACAGGAAAATTAATCTCTCTACCTTCATTTTTTTTAAAAAATTTTTTTTAGCTTATATCACGATAATGCTGGAAGAGTTACTTTATTGATAAAAGATGTAAACAAGAAAGATGCTGGGTGGTATACTGTGTCTGCAGTTAATGAAGCCGGAGTGACGACATGTAACACAAGATTAGATGTTACAGGTATGCCACACTATCAATCCAAGTGTTACAAAAATTTTAACTAGGAAGATTAAATTAAAAATGCAAATTCCTGCATTGTATAAAATTTGAGGGATTTTCTCCATACATAATCTGTTTTGATTTTTCTTTTCTGTCTGAAAATGAACACCTAGTGCAACAATTTGTTTAGAACAGGTTCTCTGAGTTAACTTTTATTTGATCTATTTCAGCCCATCAAAAGCAAACTCTTCCAGCTCCCAAGCAGTTACGTGTTCGACCAACTTTCAGCAAATACTTAGCACTTAACGGGAAAGGTCTGAATGTGAAACAAGCTTTTAACCCAGAAGGAGAGTTTCAGCGTCTGGCAGCTCAATCTGGACTCTATGAAAGTGATGAACTTTAATGACTTTACCAACACTGGAAAACACAACAATGACACTATTAGTAATATATTCAATTATATTTTTGAAATAAATCCATAGCTATATTAACAGATTATGCCTTTAATTACGTAACATAGCTAATATATATTCATAATATTATTTATCCTTTGACTCTTGCACATTCAATTTCTCTGATTTGTGAAGCCTACAGAAAATCTGGGTATATGAATTTGTAATTGAAGACAGCCATCTTAAAATACAAAATTTTAACATCTAACTCATACACAATTATAGGGTATGAATTAACATCAACTTTTTAAATATATCTAATGCTTGTAATAAGGTTTACTGGTACTGCTTTCTAAATGCTGTTTTACCCATTTTCCCTTACAGGAATACTAACCTGGTATAGATTATCTGAGTGTTTCATAGTTTTATGTCAAAAGAGAATAAAATTCAAATATTTAAAAAACACTGTCTCCTCTTCACAAAAGTCTGGATCTTTAAAATAAAACTCCTGCTTTTTGTATATTAAACAACATTCAGCAAAACCTATAAATAACAAGTTACAAAAGGGCAACAATATTATGTTCTAGAACAGTGTGAAACTCACTTACAATTCAGTCAATTCCTCCTGAAACTGAGCTAGACTCTCCATGATTTGCACTTCAAAGGCAACCACAGTAACTTAAATCATGACTGAATCTCTCCTGAATTTGTGATTTTGTTTTAATCAAATAGGTCTCTAATTCTTCAACATCTTTGAGTCTATTGAGCTCAATGGAATAAGAATAGTCTTTAGAGGTCATCTGCTTAATTCTTATATTTAACATAAATTTGAATACCTATTCAAATTCCTCCAGCAATTTCAAGTTCAAATAACCTATTACATTAGGAAGCATAATTTTGTGAGCACCTGAGAGTCCAAGAACAGGAAGACACAAATCCTTTCGTTAAACTACCGTTAAGCTAGGACAGTAGCCCTTTCTTTCTCTTTGGGCTCTGGACTGGCTGTGGGCCTTTTGCTAGGGTCTCTTGTTCCATTTATCAACGATGACCCACCCTCCTACTGCGTGGCCTAGTTTTGCTTTTTATCTGTATTATAAAATGGCATTTATTAACATCACTCTACATCTCTTTCAGGGAAATAACAAAAATGGCCTCATCTTTTACTTTTAAAACAGTTTTCTTTGCAGGCTGCCCTGGGGTCTTTGGACTGAATTCCGTTTCATTTTCCTTTTTATCAACATAAGAATCCCTCCTTTCTTACAGCCTGGCGGTCTTTTTGGCTGCCTTAATTTTCAGCCAAATTTGGCCTTTTCTATATAGCTGCTTTATTTTACAAACGTTTTGTCATCTTTGCAAAGCTCCTGGGCCATATATGGGTCTGGGCTCCCAAGCACTACTGTTTTAGCCTACATTTTTACATAATCACAGCAGGTTCATTTTTTTTTCAACTCTATGTCAAGGTTGGAGGAAAGAACAGAAGTTATTCCTAGCAACAACTCTTGGTTAATAACAACCACTTTCTGCAAGTAGCAGCGGCAGCGTGGAGTCACGGTTAGGCATTCCGGCTCTGGCATCCAGCAGATGTTGTCCCAACTCTGGGTAAATTATTTAATCTCTCAGAGTCTCGTTTTCTTCAGACCTAAAATGAGGACAGAAATACCTACCTTTTAGGGAAGTGGATGTGGAAACTAAACAAGGTGATAAATGTTAAAGGTATTCAAGAAAGAGAAGCCCGTTATAATTATTACTACGGTTTTTAAGCCCAAAGCCAGGTTTGTCCCAGAAATTGGCCCTCTGCAAGTGACAACCGCCGCAATGCCCAAGCCGCCCCAGGGGAAGCGCTTCTAGAGGGTCCTTGTTGCGCACGCGCACTTGCGCCTTGCCGCGTAGCGGGCGCTCCTGGAGGAGCGGGAGGGCTCGCGCAGGCGCATGAGCTAGGAAGCGCGTGACGCTAGACTATCGCGCAAGCGCGGCAGGCCCGGGGTGGACGAACGGGCGGTGTGGTGCAGGTCCACCATGGCCGAGGCTTCGCGATGGCACCGAGGCGGTGAGGGATGCTCCTAGGCAGTGGGTGGGGCAGGGACGATTTGGCAAGTACACATCCGCTGGAAGGAACTCTGTTTCCCTAAATCCGTATTCATGTGAGAGATATGACTGCCGACACTTTTAGCCCTCACAACCTCCCCTGGAGAAGCGAAGAGGGACAAATAGTCCCATTTCGCAGACGGGAAAACTGAATCCCTGAGAAGACAAGGCACTCACCCTTTGCCCGAGACTTGAGCTCGGCGCTGTCGCCTGCTGTGCAATGAACGTCCCTAGGCCGGTCTCCGAAATGGTCGATCTAGGGACTTGTGGCCTTGACAGACCCCAGCCGCAGCACTTTTTCTCTCTGCAGCAGAAGCCTGCCTTCCCAAGCGGTATTGACGGGTGGAGAAAACTATTAGGGACAGATGAGGGGGGTTTGTTTGGTTTGTATTTTTCTTTTAATTTTAACAAAGTTTTTTTTTTGTTTTGTTTGTTTTGTTTTTTTATTGGCTGCTAGCCAGTACAGGGATCCAAACCCTTGACCTGGGTGTTATCAGCACCATGCTCTCCCATGTGAGCTCACTGGCCAGCCCCCTTGCTTTTTTAATTTTAAGGCAGGACTGGTAAGGAAACATCTATGTTATAAAATCTATTAGTATATAGTCATAAAATGACTGCCAGCTTACCCCAATGGAAAAATTTAGTAATTATCCGTGCCTCATAAAAGTGAGATTTAAATAACCAGACCCATTGGAGCTTTCCTTCATACGGTGTAACAACTAAAAGTGGTGTGTTTTTCTGTCGTTGTTACTCATATGCATTATAAATTACATAATAATGTAAAGGAAATTTTTGTTTTATGTCTCACAGGGACTTCGACACATAATCTGCATTACAGAAAGGAAGTAGAAATTAGAACCACACTTCAGGAGTTGTTACTGTACTTTATTTTTTTAGTAAACCTATGTATATGTAAGTACACATGTTAATAAAGACACTGATTGTTTGAACTAAGAAGTCAGAATGTAGAGATGAAAAAACATAGTCTGTAAAACCACAGGCTGTCAGGCTACAAAAATTTTTCAAAATATAGCGACACATTTAAGACATTGTATGTTAGTTCATTTAGATTGATGCTTTATAGTTCTTAAGAAGCAAAACTTCTGGTCACAGATGTAATACGAGGCTTCTACAGTCAACACAGATTGAATGTAATTATTCCTTTCATCTGGCAGTTCTATCTTGAACATAATTAATTTCTTGGGTTGGCAACTGTAATTCGATTTCTTTTACAGCCATATAAACACATAAGCTCAGTTTCATAAATCAAAGTACAAATGAGGCCGAAGATGGAAGTTCTTGGTGTCTGCCATTAGCTTTGTTCTTTTCACTGTCCTATTTTACAGTTAATAGTAAAATATGCTTGTGCTGAGTCAAAGCAAATCTTCAAGGAGGACTGGGAAAACATCTCAATCTGCATTCGTCCTATCTGTAGGTCAATAGCATTAACTTAGTATGTGAAGGGCAGTATTAAAAAGCATTTTGTCTTTAGAGTGCCCAACATACAATAGATGTAAGCTCACTGACAATTTATTTCATGTTGGTATGTGCTACACACTGGCAACTGTATAACAATTAACTAACTTTATAAATTAAGGTATCTTAGACTGGTTTATAAAAGCTTAGTTATAAAAATAATATATGCTTATTCCAGAACACTTGGAAAGTGGAAAAATAAAAGCAAAAAATCATTCATAATCCCACTAATCAGAGACTTTTTTAAACAGTTTTTTAATAAAGGGAAAAATTGAAAACAGCCTAACTCTACATCAGTAAAGGGATTTGTTTAACTTTGTGGCGTATAGGAGCATACTTCAAAAAGTTTGTGGAAAAACGGAATTAAAACATAATACAAAGAGGCTGTGGCTGACCTCCAGCTTCCTGAAGCTGCTACTGAATGCCCTTGAGGAGGACCACAATTACCTGCCCCTCCCTGAGAAGCAGCTAGGACCCCATCTGCTGCCCACCAGCAGTGAACCCACCCAGGGCCATCCCTAGGTACCTGGCAGCCCTCCTTCCCACCCATAACCCTGCTTGCAGCAAAGCAACCCATCCTGGATGGCTGGGTCCATGCAGAGGCCCAACCAAATAAACAGAACCACCTGAAAAAAATAAATAAAACATAAAAACAAATATTTCCATGAACTTTTTGAAGTACCCTCATACAGTGAAATAATACGCAATTATTTAAGAATGGCATAGATTCATATGTGCCATGGAATGATGTTGGAGATACATGGTTTAAAAAATTAAAGGGCTTCTGGCAAAATAATAAAGGCACATTTAGACTTTATTCCTCTCTAAAATCCACTCTCACCCAAAAAGAGAATGAGAAAGACCATAACAAAGTACCACAGACTGGGTGGATTAAACAACAGAAATGTATTGTTTCACAGTTCGGAAGACTAGAAACCCAAGATCAAGTTGTCAGCGGGGTTGGTTTCTTCTGAGGCCTCTCTCCTTGGCTTGTAGATGGCCGTCTTCTCCCTAGTCTTCTCTCTGTGTGTGTTCTCTGTCCAAATTTCTTCTTCTTATAAGGATATCAGTCATATTGGATTAAGGCCCATGTTACTGACCCCATTTTAGTTTAATTACCTCTCTGAAGACCCTGTTTTTAAATATGATTACATTCTAATATATGAGGGGTCTTCAAAATTGTTCATGGAAAGATTCATATTATCTTTTTTTTTTTTTTTTTTTTTTTTTTGTCTTTTTCGTGACCGGTAAGGGGATCGCCCGCACCGCACTTAGCCAGTGAGTGCACCGGCCAGTCCTATATAGGATCCGAACTTGCAGCGGGAGCGTTGCTGAGCTCCCAGCGCCGCACTCTCCCGAGTGCGCCACGGGGCTGGCCCCTAGATAATATTTTTTAAAACTCTTACCATGTGCCAAAGCACAGTTTTAAATGTCCTATGTGAATCATTTCACTTCTTACAACAAAACTCGGAGGTAGGATATATTATCCCTTTAATGGGACTCAAACCCATATCTGTCTCAATTTAAAGTCCATAGCCTTGACCACTCACTGTACTATATTGCCTACTTTCAATGTGAAGAAAAAGCCAACTTGCAGAATAGTTTGTATAATGTGACCTCATTTTTGTAAAGATAAATATTTTTAATTTTTTTATTTTATTTTTCTTTTTTTTTTCATTTTTATTGAATCAAAATTGATTATACATATTTTTAGTCAACATTAAGATATGTTGATCAAATCAATATTACTAGCATATATATTGTTACAAATTGTAATTATTCTTTATGCCCCTTGTCCAATCACACCCCATCCCCCTTCAGCTCCCTCTCCCCCCTCTAATCACCCTAGATTTCTTCTCTCCCTCTGAAAGAATAATGGTTACTCTATTGACTTGCTGCCCAGATGATCTGTCCAATGCTGAGAGGCATGATCAGATCCCCCAAATACTTTCATAGAGCAGATGTCTCTTCCATCACTATGAAATGGGCTCTGTGGAGACAGACATCCTCCTCCTTTGTTTTATCTCTGCTGGTGACTCTCCTTGTCACATTCACTCCAGTGGCTGGTGGACCATCTGTGCAGTGGTTGTGGCATCTTGCCGCCTTCATGGCAGCCATGGTTATCGTGGTGGCTGTGGTGGGCCACCCAACATGGAGATGTTTTTGGCATGCTCCATGGTGCTGGCGATGTGCCTGGTTGTAAACTTTTTTAAATGAATGTGTATGCATAAAGAAAAATCTGAATATGCCACACTTAATGCTAGTGGTGTGATTACAAGAAACTTCTTCCTGCTTTATATATTTCTATTTTAGATTCTAAAAAATTATTACTTTTATAGTTAGACTAAACAAAGTTGACTTGTCAGAAAAAATTGGGAATGAATTGTAACATTTTTAATCATGACAAACTGAGTTTTTAAACATAAATTTTTAAACATTCTTCTCCTTAGTGACTTTTGGGATGGTAAACCCACATATGTATTACTTAAACAAGGCTATGTCATCTCTATTTTTGGACACTTCTGTGCCTGGTGGTGAAAGAACGAACTTTAAGTCTATTCGAAGCATAACTGATTTTTGGAAGGTAAGGTATCATGTGACTGTGGATGAAGTAGCTTTAGGTATTCCATAAGCCCTTGGCATACATAGTAGGCACTCAATGAATATTTGTTGAAGAAATGAGTAAAAATGAATGTCATTTCTTTAAACTATTAGAATCAACCAACCAGTGTTTATTGAGAACAGAAAATGTTCTTAGTGGTACTATTCTTGTAACTTTTAAAAATTGATATTTTTTTGACATTCCCATTTCATTTGGAAAATAGGAGACTTGCTTCTTAGGTGAGGATTAGGATCTAAAATCAGTCTTTAATTGTGCATAGTGAGAATTACCCTTAAAAATTCTTTAATTGCCTAGAAAGTGTAATATATGTTTTTTTGGCATACAATCGTCTACTGTGTGTATGTGTTACAGTAATGTACAGTATCTGAGGCTACTTCAAAAAGTTCATGGAAAAATAGAATTGAATGATAATACAAGTATTCCCACGAACTTTTTGAAGTACCCTCATATAATAAAGAGTACATATACAGAATATAGTTTCATGGTTTTTTAAATACACAAGAGAATCATTCCTTTGGCATTGGGATAGACAATTTTTTCATTACACTTAACATAGCAAGATGCTCACATTATGAAGAAAGAACAATTAAGGAAACAGCAGTTTTAGGTATCCCATGTCATACATATTGGGGCATATTAGGATGAGGCAGTTAGGGAAGACTTTCCAGAAGTGATGACAATTCAGTTGAGTTTTAAAGGATGAATAAGAGAAGGGCATTCTAGGGAGAAGGAACAATATGTGCTATAAGTTATTCTACATGTGGAGCTATGTTTGGCATGCTAGGAATATAAAACTTATTAAGGGGATGTGGTCATTTCCTAAGAGTGAGAGGGCAAGTATGAGATGAGAGCTACATGATCACATAGGTCCTTGGTGTAGGCCACATAAAATATGGATGATAAGAGAAGTGGAGCTCACCCTGTCTCCTTTTTATTGTGCTGTCTTGAGGCATGTATATGGCCAATGGCAAGGAATCCAAAGGGAGGAAAGAGAAAATGAACCCTGAGCTTGATATCTGTTAGAATGAGCAGATAGGGGCAGAGCCAGGAGTAGCAGTCACCATGGTCAGAGTTGGGAAGGGGAGTTTGAGGGAGGGGCACAAGACAACTTTGGGGTAAAGTTATGATGTGTGACCATGACCAGCTCTGATTCTCATGTACTGAAGGACAATTTTCAATATACTCATATAAGAAGGGCTATGGAATTAAACGCGTTGATACTTGTAAAGTGCTTAGCGCAGTGCCTAGTATAGTGCTTAATAAGTGTTAACCATCAGTAGCACCAGCATCATTATCATTACCATTAATATTAATGGTGGCTTGGTAAACAATTTAATTTTCATACTCAAAATCTCATGCATAATGTTACAAACGTAGATTCTGTTGACATGATAATACTTTTCCCATAATATTTACCTTTCTGTATGAAGTTTATGGAAGGACCCCTTTTGGAAGGTCTGTACTGGGACTCGTGGTACAATAACCAGCAGCTGTATAATTTAAAGAACAGCAGTCGCATTTACTATGAGAACATACTTCTAGGAGTCCCCAGAGTTCGTCAACTAAAAGTCCGCAACAACACATGCAAGGTTTATTCATCCTTTCAGTCGTTTATGAGTGAATGTTATGGCAAATATACTTCCAAAAATGAAGACCTGTCTGATTTTGGCCTTAAACATGATACTGAGTAAGTACTATAAAATTATACAGTAACTTTTTTCTAGTAGCTTTCCACTGTATCTTTTAGAAATTGTAAAAATATAGGGCCGGCCCCATGGCTCACTCGGGAGAGTGCGTTGCTGGTAGCGCGGAGGCCGTGGGTTCGGATCCTATATAGGGATGGCCGGTGCGCTCACTGGCTGAGCATGGTGCAGGCCACACCGTGCTGAGGGTCGCGATCCCCTTACCGGTCAGAAAAGAAAAAAAAAAAAAGAAATTGTAAAAATATGTATATTTCCACATAATACCAGCTGGAGGCTGACGGGTAAGGAGACTGTTTCAACAATAGTATCAAGGGAAGATAGTAGTGAGATAGCAGTGTTTAGAAGAGTGAACCTGTTACTTTTTTGTTTGCCTCAAGATGCAAAGTGTTTTCTTTTTTCTGAATGTGGTATATGAAGTGCTTAAGTCATATATGATACAAGGCAAAGCATCAGTTTTTGCCTCTACAATAGTCAGCTTTTCTGGCTCTGGCCAGACTCCCTGAAACATATTTCTAAAACTCAGGATCTTTAAGGAGTGTCTTAGGTATGCTCTGATACTTTCTCCTTTCTCCCTCTGGCTTACTTCAGTGATATCTTCTGTTGCTGCCAATACTAAAAAGGGGGAGTTATGCTCTACAGGCACTGCATCAGATGATGCCTCCAAAAGATACTATAGCCATTGTTCCCCAAAGTGGCTGAAATTAATGCTGGTGTAGACTCATGTGTACACTTTATATTGAAAATGTGAAAGCCCAAAGCCATTGGCATCACCTCCCCTTGACACAGAAGCTGCTGGTATCAGTGTTGTTTACACTTTGTGCTTTTAGAGTTATATGGAAATCATAAAGGGGAAAGATAAACCTTTTTTGTAATTTAATATTTATCAAAGTGATACAAATACTTACAGAGGTCTACCTTTTCCTACTCATAATTCTCACTCTACAGAAGCAGCTACTTTTAGTTGTTTCTCATAGAGTATACTTCCTGTTTCTGAGTAATATCCTCACACTGCTACTACTTGAGTTTTCAGTTCTATATATCTATTGTTTTTCTATCATGGGAGGTGATCTGTCATGTGGTTCTCTTATGCCACCCCTCTACACACACTCTTCCTGTTCCTCGTAGCCTCTCAATACGGTTATACCATTACCATTGTTGAATTCTTAGTCAATGTTTATATTATAAATATGAACTATGATAACATTTCCTCTCTTGAACAACTCTCCTGAACTTCCAAGATTAAATCATTGCTTTGTAGTTTTTGTTTGTTTGTTTTTTCTTGATCGGTAAGGGGATCGCAACCCTGGGCACGGTGTGGTCTGCGGCACGGTGTGGTCTGCACCACGCTCAGCCAGTGAGCGCACTGGCCATTCCTATATAGGATCCGAGCCCGCGGCCTCGGTGCTATGAGCACCGCACTCTCCCGAGTGAGCCACGGGGCCGGCCCACTTTGTAGTTTTTGTTGACTTATTTCTTTTTTGTATGAGTTTTGGGTGTTCTTGAAAGCTTGTGTAATTCTTATAAATCTAATAAATTCATAAGTATACACATTCTCTTAAATATTACAGTGCTATTCACTACCTTTCAACCCAAAATTACAAGATAAATCAATTATTTAATTACACATTTTAAATTGTAATCTCAAGACTAAACCTTTTAGGTATTCTAATATTCCAAATTCTCAAAACAACTACAAATACTTTAAGTACCAAAATTAACACTATGGATTAGGTTTATTCTACCATCTCTATACTTAATTGGAATTGTGAGCTAATATTTGTTATTTCTCAGCAACCAAAATAAGAATCAATTTGTTCTTGTTTGTCTATTTAAAAAGTAAAATTCATTAAAAACATTATCTATAAAAAACTGGAAGTGAGAAGAGAGTTGGTGTAACAAATTTTTAAGAGTCATATAGAGTAAACAACCAAAAATGCATCTATGGAAATTTCATTAAAATATAATTATTTTTTCCTAAATACTTTTTAGGTGTCACTTTTTCCCTCTGCCATTGAAAACATAGTGTTATTAATAGAAAAGAAGTTTAAACAGTGCATCTTTGGATTACCTTTCACATCTCTTTTGGGGAAACCAAATAGTGAGACTGAAATGAGAAATCAAGGCTTTTTTTTTTTTTCTTGATGTTCCATAATTAAAAGTCAAAAGAATGGAAACAAAATTTAGTTATACAAAGAGCACACTCAGGGTCCTAAGGCAGGATCTGAGGGCCAGCCTCCTCCACCCAGATGCAAGCAAGAAACAGCATTCCCCAGGGACCTAGGCAGGAGCCAAGGGCAGCATCCCCCATTGGGAAACAGGCAAGGAGCATGCCAAAAACACCACTTCCTTGTGGGTGGCCCATCACAGCCACTGCCACAGCCACAGCCACAGCTGTCACAAAAGCAGCTTGATACCACAGCAGTAGCCACAGATACCGTGCAGATGGCCCACCAGACACCCTATTGCAGTGACACAAGGAGAGTCACCAGTGGAGACCCGAAAAAGAGGAGGAGGATGTCTCTCTCCTCAAACCCCACTCCAGTGTAATAGAAGAAGCAACTGCTCTACCATGCCTCTGCTTAATTTCTCACTTTAGTAATTTCTGTCTTCTCTATTTTTCTCTTGGTCACTCTGGATAAAGGTTTGCAAATTTTGTTGATCTTTTTAAAGAATCAAAAAAAACTATTAAGCATTAATATTACTATTATGATGTAAATATTTTAATCAATCATTAACTTTACATAACTTAGGGAATAATAATCTTTACATACGTTGTGTGACTTGTTAAATATGTAACTATCATTCATTTTCTTTGACAGACTTTGTTATGGAAGATTGAAATCAAGCTCAAAAGTCATTTCTCAAAAAAATTTAATTATACACATTTTACTTTGATCTATGTACTTTCATTAAATAAGATAGCTATATAACAATATAGACATCGTAACAAAGTTTTTTTTTTTTTTTGTCTGTTTTTGGGTTTTTATTGTCTTTTTTTTTTCGTGATGGGTAAGGGGATCACAACCCTTGGTGTGGTGTCGCCCACACCGCGCTCAGCCAGCGAGCGCACCGGCCAGTCCTATATAGGATCCGAACCCATGGCAGGAGTGTCGCTGTGCTCCCAGCGCCGCACTTTCCCGAGTGCGCCATGGGGCCAGCCCATAACAAAGTTTTTACTGGGCATTTATAAACAATATATGACCTCTAGAAGATAGACTATGAAGCACCTTTTTTTTCCATACTTAGATATTTCTAAATCAAAACTCTTGATATTTTTGTCCTGCTCAAAGACAGAACATCTCATAAGACAACAGAGACAACATGTTAAAGAAAATTTAAAAATTGGTCATTGTTTTCTAGATTCTAAGTCCCATAAGGCAATAGATGGATTTAAAAATTTTTTCTCATAACACTTAGTCCAGTGTGTGGCCCACAATAAGCACTAAAAAATAAAAACATATTAAATCTTAATCCTTTTAATCCTTAACATTGTTTTGCTCCAAAATTACTATAATACTTATGAACTTACTACTTTTTTTTAACTACTACTTTTGAACCAAAGGTTAGTTTAAATTCTTAGAATACTTCTCAGTTGGGCTTTCTCATTTCTCCATATTCTTTTTATGTCCAACAGATGGAAGTACTCTGCTTCTAATACCAACTCCCCTTGGCACTGGGGATTTGTTGGTATTTACCGAAATGGGGGATATATTTTCACTTTATCCAAATCAAAATCTGAAACCAAAAACAAGTTCATTGACCTTCGACTGAATAGCTGGATCACAAGAGGGACCAGAGTTATTTTTATTGATTTCTCATTATACAATGCTAATGTAAATCTGTTTTGCATCATCAGGTGAGTGACGCAACTTCTTTATTAGTATATTGAATTTTAAAACATTTGGAGCCCTCATTAGGATTTCCAGTTTATGCATGCTTGTGCTGAAAGTAAAATCATAAGCTTTGAAGTAAACATGATGTAGTTCTACTGACAATAATGAAAAAGAAGGTAAAGCAACATCACATTCACTATTTCATTACTTCAGAATATATTCAGGAACATGGAGAATTACACACAATATGTTAGTTTTATATTGCTTAAGAATATGTAGTCTTATTTCTTATAATTCTACATTTAGTCTTCATGATTTCTTCCTCTAATCAGATCATGCAAATCAAAGGAAATCATTGGTTTCCTTTCAGAATGGGTTTCTTTATTATGATATTAAGATATTCTCTTTTGTCTCAAGAATGAACAATTTGAACTTTAGACAATATGAAGGTACTTCAAAAAACTTATGGAAAACCAGAATTGAAAGATAATGAAAAAAAAAAGATAATGCAAATTTTTCCATGAGCTTTTTAATTTTTTCTTTCTTCCCTGGTCCCAGTGCTTGAGGATAGAACTGGCGGACAGGAAGCTGCTGGTACTGAAGACATGACATTGAGGGGGCCTGAGCCCTTTCCTTCTGCCTCCATACATAACAAGGAGTGGGACGGCATGCCCGGTCACTGCCAAGAAGGGTACCATGAACTTTTGGAAGTACCCTTGTATGTAATGGTAGCTAGCATCCTAGAAATGACTAGAGAAAGAGGTAGATTGCAAAAATGGCCCCCATTCTTCTCATCTTTGCCATGTAACCTTGTAGTGGCCTGCCATCTAGGGCAGAGTACACTGCCCCAGCCTTGATGCTGGGGACAACCATGTGACTTTTCTTTGGTCAATGGGATGTTAGCAGTTATGGTGCAAGCAGAAGCTTGAAATGAGTTTGTACATTAGAACTTACTCTCTTGTACCTCTACAATTACCATGAGAAGGACGTCCCTGAGCTAGCTTGTTGGACCCAGGAGAAGGATGAGAGACATGTAGAGCAGAGCCAACTCAAAGATGCGTGAGTGGGCCTAGCCAAATGGCAGATATATTAGCAAGCCTAGTTGAGATTAGTCACTCCCAGCTGGACCATCTGAACTCTGCAAACACAAAAGAAATATTTATTATAAGTCACTGCATTTGGGTATGGTTTGTTATCTAGCAAAAACAAGGCCTAACTTGGGTCTCAGCTCTTTACCACTGATCTGTTAGGAGACTTCTTGTAACAGAAAACCCCAACTTAAATTGGTTTAAACAATAAATTTATTTCTGTCACATAGTAGCAATTCTAGAGACAGGGCAGATACCTTTTGCAGTAAGTTCAGGGATCTAGCTCCATTTCTTTGAGATGGCTTCAATTTTGCCCTCCTTTGTGTCATTCTTATCTTAAGATTCCCCACAATAATTATGTACAAGCAGCAACTGTGGTCATATGTTGTTGATATTCATAAGGAGAGAGCACCAAACAAAAAAAAATTCTTTCCATTAGTCTGACCAGGTTACCGTATGTAACCTGCCTAACCTGGACCATGCTAATTTATTTAGGCCAGGATTCTAGAATCAAACACTGGCCAAGAAAACAGAATTACCATGATTAGATTTGCCTGGGGATGTAATTAGCTTCCCCAAAGTGATGGGGATGGGTGAATAACTGAATACAATTAGGGTTCTAATAGAAAGGAAGAAAGAGATAATGACTGCTAGAGAGGCAGACAGCAGTGTCTACTAAAAAGCTCAGTGAGCCACGTTTCTTTCATAGGTCTTACATTTTTTTCTCTTGTTGTGGGGCAAACGCACAAAGGAATGCAAGACCGGCGTCAGTGTTGTAGTTTTATAGCTCTTCATTTTAGTGTTGCAGCTCTTTGTTCAGGGTTACAGCACCTCTTTTTGCTTTCAAGCAAGGAGAGAACTGGGGAGCAATAACTCCTAAACCAGTGTCTCCCAGAACAAAGGAAAAGACCCCCTTGTATGGCCTAAATTCCCACCCTTTTCCCTCCCAGGTTCTCATTCAGGTCCTTTTATGTAAATGAGGGATGCTGTCCTGCTAATTTGGATTGGCTGATTGTGGGACACAGTCCGTTGGTCACTTTAGAAGCCTAATTTGCCTCTGGCCCCTGGGGGAGGGGTGTGGGACTGCTGTTATCTCCTAGAGGGCAGGCCCAAGAAGCAAGCAGGGTAAATGGCAGGGGCCAGAGTCTACAGTGGAGCATAGAGTTTCTAAAACATTTTCTCAAGTGGAAAAGGAAAAGCTTAACAATTAAGAAATGCAGAGTGTTAGAAAACACTCTGAATGGAATATGGAATTGGCGTTTACTCTAGGGGATTTTTGCCCTTGAGCAACAGTGACAGTGAACACACCATAGCCTTTAGAATTTGTATGAATTAATAAATGAGCCACGTTTAAGCAGCCAATGGACATTATATCTTTTATTTTATAGTTCTTACTTTCCTCTCAGTAAATCAGAGCTTTTTACCAAAATCATTAACCCTTTCCCAATAATCCTAATCAGGATAAAGTGAAGAGTACAAATCATTTCTATGTCCTTAAGAGTGGAAGCATTGAGGTAACTGGCTTAAAGTCATGTGAAGAACTCCTTGTAATATCAGATTGTCAAGATTTCTTGTCTCTAGGTTTTGTGCTTATTCTATGTTACCTCTTAAAATGTTATTTTTTAGAAACTTCAGCAGATTTTAAAACTTAACTAGTATATATAATCAGTGGTTATATTGAAGCATACTGTTTATGCTAAGACCTTATCCATTTATTTTTCTTCTTGTATGCATATGAGGCAAACTACAAGTACTGTTTTTTCCCCCTTCTATTTATTAGCCTACATTTCAGACCATGAGTTTCTTTCACTTCACTCACTCATCCAACATTAAACACTTACTATGTGTAAGATTTAACAGTTTGGCCAGGGTACTTCAAAAAGTTTACAGAAAAATGGAATTAAAAGATAATATGAATCTTTCCATAAACTTTTCAAAGTACCCTCATATTTGTTAACTGGGTTTTTGTTTGTTTTTGTTGTTTGCTTATTTGTTTGGGCAGCACCTTATTCCAGTACCAATAAAATTTGCTAATATCTTTACGTAGGAATAATTGCATTGTAATATTGTGACAGAACTGCTGGTTCTTTAAATTACTGCCAATTCTTAATTATCTGACGTTGTAAAGAACACCAAAAATATAGGAAAAACCTCAAAATCTTTTTATATTTAGTGTTGGAAACAATTAGTATACTTCTATTTGCATATAGATCTTTGTATTGGACATCCAATGCCTAAAGTAAACAAAATATTCTCTTTAATAGAATATGTGACCTTGACATTTATAAGCCACAAGTATCTCTGATAAGGTAAAGGGAGAGAATGTATTTCCCTCTCTGAAATATTCAAGAATTATGTATTTGGGGGAGAATCCTAACTAAACAGTAACAGTAGAACATTTTCTTTCACAAACCTAATTTTACAGATTGGTGGCAGAATTCCCTGCAACTGGAGGAATACTTACTTCATGGCAGTTTTATTCTGTAAAGCTCCTCAGATATGTTAGCTACTATGATTATTTTATTGCTTCCTGTGAAATCACATTTTGTATTTTTCTTATTGTCTTCACAACACAAGAAATCAAAAAAATAAAAGAATTTAAGTCTACCTATTTCAAAAGTATTTGGAACTGGTTAGAATTACAACTTTTGCTGGTGAGTATATATTCATGTGTATGGTTGAAGGGCATCACATCTGAATCCACCAATGAAGAAGGAGTAAAAAAACAGAATTTTCTGTTCATCCAGGACTTATTTTGAAAGCACAAACATCAAACATAAAATGAACTATCATAGTACATACTAATGGTGTGCCTCCAAAAGGGAGAAATCTTTTTTTCTGATTTGGTCCTTGGGAGGGCCACCATAAACCTAGAAGAATAGGTGATTCCATAAATATTATGATTTAATGTGCACAGTAGGTCTTCCTACCCTCCCTCAAAAAAATGTATTCCTTATAGCACCTCGTGTTTCAACCAATCATGGATCTTTGTGGGCAAGGTCCTTTAAAATTTACTCTTCTATGTTGCCTAAATCCACTTTTCTCCTCACATTACATTTTGAGGAATTTGAGCAACCAGAGGGGAGTATGTTTGGGGGACAAAGAGCACCAGGATTGGGGAAATAGTCCCTGGGAGAAACAACAAAGACTGCCAATTCTAGTCACTGGAACATAACAAAGCAAACATAGAGATGTAGGCAGGGTGAGACAAATGTTAAGAACTTGGTCTTAGGGGCCGGCCCTGTGGCACACTCGGGAGAGTGCAGCGCTGGGAGCGCAGCAACGCTCCCGCCGCAGGTTTGGATCCTATATAGGAATGGCTGGTGCGCTCACTGGCTGAGCATGGGTTGCAATCCCCTTACCGGTCACGAAAAAGACAAAAGAAAAGAACTTGGTCTTAGAAACAGTCAATGAACAAACATTTCTGGCTCATATAATCTGATCTTTCACCCTTATTGGCCCTTAGTTATAGCCAATCCAGTATTTAAGCCTTGTTTCCCAAAACCAGGTTGAAAGTTTCTCAGTCAGAAATTGTGCCGTCAACCTCTCTGGTATCCCCAGTGATGTCTATAACAAAGGGCATACCGTTAAATGTTTAACTGAGTATTTCAGGCAAGGAAAGTCAAAGGAAAAATTTCATGACAGTTATAAAACTCTGACACCAAGATAACCTGGTTCTGAAATCCTCTTTTAAAAGAGTTGTTAAAGGGTCTAAAAGGGTTTACTCTTTGTAACTGTAATTTTTTTTCTTGTAGTATTACACAGTAGAAAATATTAAACTTTTAGGTACGATGTAGAGCAGAAACCCTTATAGTCTAGTCAGAGTTACATAATCATTTTAAATATTTGTGCTTTATGGACTCAAAGAAACAAACAAGTAGATACTTTAGGATAGCCAGGCAATCAATATTTTTCCACTTTTATGATAATTATGCCACCTTAAGCCTCTATAAGTTGAGAGTTACTTCCATTTATGTAAAAACACGTGTCCTATTTTTTTCTCCCTTTTTGTTAAACTTTGGATGAATTTTTCAGGTTTTTCTTCATGAAATGCGAGATATTTAGAGGTAGTAATCGTCTCTAATTTAACCTTCTTGTTTTCCCATTTAGTTGTGTTTTGTGGCTGTTTCCTTCAACATATATTGTAATATACAAAGTTTTCTCTTACTTGGACAGCTGTTGAAAAGTACTGAAAAATATTCAGACTTCTATTTTCTTGCATACTGGCACATTTATTACAATAATATTATTGCTATTACTATCTTCTTTGCATGGATAAAGGTATTTATATTTTATTATATTACATAATACAACAGTGTAATAGCATAATGAGAACTTAAATTACAAAGCCATGAAAAAAATTTTCTCAACTATTGAGTAATTTTAAAAGTAGTTTGGCCTTGTAGTTATTTCTGGCAAATCCTCAAATACTCCTGATTGTCTTTAAATACCTCCTTTAATTTGAAGGAGAATTCTTCTAAAATTAATTTAACTTACTCTAAGTAATTATAATCTTTGATAGTCTCCTATTTCAATTAACTTTGTTCTTTTTCAGATATTCAAATTCATAAGCTTTAATAAGACAATGTCTCAGCTTTCATCAACATTGTCCCGCTGTATCAAAGACATAGTAGGATTTGCCATCATGTTTTTTATAATATTCTTTGCTTACGCCCAGTTAGGATTTCTTGTTTTTGGATCACAGGTTGGCGACTTTTCCACTTTTCAAAATTCCATGTAAGCTTCTAGTATAAATGTAATTATATTTTCTAACAAAAAAAATTCAAGGAAAGGACTATGTGAAGTAGTAACTTAAGCTTTAATAAATTTAAAATTTGGTTTGGTATTTTCATCGTTAGCTAAATATTGGTCACACTTAAAGTAGGGTTTGGCATTGAAGGATCTAAATGGATGGTGGTATCCACTTTTTAAGCATTACTAGATTAAGGCAGAAAAAATTTTTTATTCTTCATTTTTCACTGAAAGTGAGAATTTTACCTAAGATAACAAAAATTGGCCTTCACATCTCTGTAGTATTTATTCTTTGGGCAAAAGATATCTTAAGTGTTTTCTTTAGAGAGCTCCTTCTTAAGAATCTTCTTACTGGTATTAACCTTATTGTCCTTTGCTGATCTGCCAAAGATGTATTTCAAAAATGGCTTTAGGGCTGGCCCTGTGGCTCACTCGGGAGAGTGCAGCGCTGGTAGCACTGAGGCCACGGGTTCAGATCCTATATAGGGATGGCTGGTGCGCTCACTGGCTGAGCGTGGTGCAGACAACACCGAGCCAAGGGTTGCAATCCCCTTACCAGTCAAAAAAAAAAAATGGCTTTATAGGCATAAAGCAATCAGTACTAAGCAACAAACTTGTAGACATGACTAGGTAGAATCCCCAGAAAAGTATTCAGGCTTTTCTTTAAAAGTGAAGTATTTTCAGGGGCCGGCCCGATGGCGCACTCGGTAGAGTGCGGCGCTTGGGAGCGCAGCGGCGCTCCTGCCAAGGGTTCGGATCCCATATAGAGACCGGTCCGCTCACTGGTTGAGCACGGTGCGGGCACGACACCGAGGATTGCGATCCCGTTGCCGGTCACGGTACGGGTGTGACACCGAGGGTTGTGATCCTGTTACCGGTCACGAAAAAAGACAAAAAGGAAAAAAAAAAAGTGAAGTATTTTCATAAATTTACTCTCTTTTAGGGTAGGTAAAGCAACTTCTATCTGTATGAAAAAATTATAATAGTCTAAAATATCAATTTTTGAAATACATTTTGTGGAATTCTAGACCAAGACTGTCTGGGGAAAAATGGCTTTATATTTAAGTAAGTTTGGGGAATTTTGCATCACCCTTTTGGAAATTTGCAGTGCATATTAACATATAGCCCTGAGAAATCCTGTAATAATTTTGTTAACTTTTAGTTAAGAGTTTCACAGACTTATTTGTTCATTATCCTTTTGAACAAATACGTTTTGTTTTTTGGGAAATCCATCTAAAGAAATGTCTTTTTCCATCCACATGTAGATAATTGAAGTACAAATGTATGAAATTCTGTAACATTTTCTGAAATAACCCTATACTAAGTCAGTAGTAGAAAAGAGTGGACTAGGAACCAACAGGCTATGATTCTAGTTTTCAGTTCTGCCACTAGCTACTTAACTTTTCTAGACCTTAATTTCCTTATCTGGAAAACGAAGGGCCTGGACTAAATTACCTCCAAAGATCCCTTCTAACTTCAAGTGATCTACACTTTGAGAAGTCTGATAGCTACCCTGAGTGAATAACATTTGCATTTCCAACAACTTCTTGGTCCTTTCCTAGGATCTCAATTATATGAAGTGTTACTTAATAATAAAACTTGGTAATATTGGGCATTGAATATAAGCGTAATAATTTACAGAGCCTTGGAAATTTGTCTTACCTTGGGTAGTGGTGAGAAAAGGAAGGTATAAGGCACAGAATAAACAAGTAGAGAACTTTGGAATGGGTTAATGAGGGGACTTCTGCTTTTGGTAATGATGTGCTAGATTATTCAGATCAACTTCCTCTTGAGAACAATTTAAAAAGCTGGATAAAATATAGAAAACATTGAAGAATTAACAAGAAAATGAGTAATAACTGGGCCAAAATCAGAAGGCAAGAACCCAGAGAATTAAGCCTAGTACCCAGAGCTACTTTCCCTGAAGGCATAATATATGTTTAACCTGAGTTACAGAAGAAGACATAGAATGGAATAGAGACAATATCTGGAGAATGCTTAGGAATAGCTACTACCCAATTCATGCCTCTGAGAGAGAGACTGGAAAGTCACATTAATGACAAATGACACATTTTTATGGAACAGTGTAGTAGTCATTTTAACTAAATAAGGGAGAATTTTAGAAAGTTAGCAGGAGTATCAAGAAGTTACAAAACAGTATTTTCATTAATATAAACCTGTATGCTAAGGTTATGTCCATCGTGGTGTTCCATGTTGCGTGCAATAAATAAATAAATTGTATAAACTAAGCACAATTAAGAGGAGAAAAAAGACATTTACACTATTGAAACCTCCAGTTCCTATGTGATCTTAATCATTTAGTAAATGACTTAGGTTTTTAATTTTGTCATTATTTACAGAGCAGAAATATCTGAACATTTTCCTGATAGAAAAGGGCTAAATGGAAGTTTTAGTTACTCAGCTAATTTCTGGAGAGGAGAAAAGAATGAGAAATGGTTCCTTTAACTTTTCTTATATAAACCCAACTCAAGGATAAAAGATCAAGTTAGAAACACTAAAACAGAACCTCATATTCTCCTATGCCAAAAAGAAAAAACTATTTGATTTTTGGTGAGAATTTTGGTCTCCTTCCAACTCAGCATTTTCTCTATTTCATGTAGAATAGCATTACAAACCATATTAAAAGCCGGATAAATACATTAAGTATGATTTAATCAGGTCTTGGCTAGGTACTGGGGATGAAATTCCAGACAACTCTGAGTCCTGAAACTCCAATTTCTTTGACTGCATTTGGCCTATTTCTTTTATTGCATTTTCTTCCTTCACTATAGATAGCCTTCTGCTCCCTCTATGTTATTGGTAAAAGCAATAAGGGACAAGAAGCTTTCCCCCTCTGACAGAATGACCAATTATGCAGAGTATCGACATACTATCAAAAATTATTTCCCAGGTTTCCCTTAAAATAAAGAACACACACATAATTTATAACTGATATCCCTGATGTGTTTAATGACACCACTGCAAATTAATGACAAGAAAATAAAATAAGATTTCAGGTTGGGAAATACTAATTCTGCTTCTGCTACCACTACGCTATTCAAACCCTTTAAAATTCAAAAAATGAAGTCTATAAATGGTATTTCACATCAAAACCAAGTTTTTAGTTACTAAAGAGGATAAAATAAACCTCAGGATTATGTTGAGGATCATTACCAGCACTTGTTTGATACTAGCAAGTGACAAATTGGTGTCCTTTTTTTTTTTTCCCCTACCTAAAATGTGAAAAACATGAAGACAGGGACTTTCTTTCTAGGCTTTATTGCTTTGTCTCTAACCACAATTTTCTTTACTGGTTTTTAGAAGCCATTTGCCTTCTCATGTTGCTGTCTCTGCCATTTATGTCATTTGACTTCCCAGTTACTTAAAGTGTCACCTGTGGCTTCCCATTCATCATATTAACAATCAGTTTGGGTTCATTGCCTAATGAGGGAACAGCATGGGTGACTAAAGATACTAATTGTAGAAACCCTGGCTAAATTTCTTAGGAGTGAAACCCATTGAGACTTCCCTTAACTTTTTTCTGAGTCAATTAGAGAAAAAATGGAGGGCAGCTATGTAGAGGTTTTCCAAAATTGTCTCTGGGGGATTGGCATCCTTGTTTCAGCAGAAGTTAAGAGGTGGTTAAGACAAAAATTAAGTGCATCATTGACATCAGAAAGTTTAGGGCTCTTGGGTCTAAGTACAAGTTGAAAGATCACTTGTTGGACAAAGTCAAAGTATTCCAAGTGTTAGAAGGGCACGGGAATGGCCAAGGAGGCCAATGCCAAAACCAATTCATAAACAGTTATCTCCAAGTTCAAATCTTGTGTAGATGAATATTGGTTTCACACTGATTAAATAAACCTAAACCCATCATTTCCTGAACCACCTGTTCAGCTATTGCAGTACCTCAAATCTTGCCTTTAGGGGAATTTTCTACATCCGGTTTTATAAACCTCTGTACTAACATAAAGCCACAGAACACATGCCATATGCAGCTAGATACTTTCCTAGAGACATTAGTAACCCCCATCAGTTGTCATATGTACATGAAGGTATATATTTTTTAATGTTTTTCTTTCCTCCCATCAAAGATTTGCACAATTTCGAATTGTTCTTGGAGATTTTAATTTTGCTGGTATTCAGCAAGCCAATCAGATCTTGGGACCCATTTACTTCATAACTTTCATCTTTTTTGTGTTCTTTGTCCTGCTGGTAAGAATGATGATACCATTTTTTTTTTCTTATTTTTTTAAAATAAAAAATGCAATTACTCCTCTAGAAGAAATTGTAGTATCACTGCTTAGTTGTCAGAGCACTTTGCATTTATTAAGAATGGTGTGAATCCTAGTAATTCAGGTTCTCTAGCCCAGTGACTGAAGTTTTCAAGTTGTCCAATGGGGAATGTGATCACAATAGTTAATATCTGGGTGTTTACTTTGGCCATGAATATGCTAAATTATTTACAAAAATAACTTGAATGTCTCTCTAGGCTGGGACAATCCATACCATGAGGTAAGAAATTAGCCATTAAGGGCTGGCCCGGTGGCGCACTGGAGAGTGTGCCGCTTGGGAGTGCGGCGGCGCTCCTGCCAAGGGTTCAGATCCCATGTGGAGACCAGTTCCCACTCACTGGCTGAGCACGGTGCGGGCGCAACACCGAGGGTTGCGATCCCATTGCCGGTCCCCGGTATGGGCGCGACACCGAGGGTTGCGATCCCATTACCAGTCAGTAAAAAAAAGACAAAAAAAGGAAAAAAAAAAATGTTTACTATTCATTTATTCACCAGTATTTATGGGCCGGCCCGGTGGCGCACTCGGTAGAGTGCGGCACTTGGGAGCGTGGCGGGAGTGCCGAGGGTTTGGATCCCATATAGAGACCGGTCCGCTCACTGGTTGAGTGTGGTGCGGGCGCGACACCGAGGGTTGCGATCCCGTTGCCGGTCGCGGTACGGGCGCGACACTGAGGGTTGCGATCCCGTTACTGGTCACGAAAAAAGACAAAAAGGAAAAAAAAAAGAAAAAAGAAATTAGCCATTAATATTCTGATATTTGCAATGGCTTTTGGCCTTGATGGCTGAAAACACCCTTTGTGATTTGTAGGAGTCACTAAGATGGACCTCCCACATATGCTCAGAACAAGTCTATTTGGGCTTCTTAATCAAAAAACCAAGCTTGCCTTTCTGGTCAAGTCACTATTACTGTCCTCCATGAAAATGCTTTTTCTCATGCACAAAAGTTATCCCCTGATGAAGACCAAGAGTCCTCAGGGTGACAGAGGTGGGCCACAGTGAAAGGTGGAGAGGTGGGTTGGGATAAGATTCTCTCCACATTTGTGTTATATGGGCATTAGAAGTTGTAGAAGCCTTAGTAAGACTGTGATTTAAGCAGCTTCACAGAATTTTTAAAAACACCCTTATGAACATATAATTACATCATTCTACATTTTCTTCTGATATGTAATACTGATAAATATATAACCAGTTCATATGCACTATTTTACATTCTGCTTTTCTCATTTACCATAAACATATTTGCTCATATCCACACACTACACATTTTCCATTCTGTTCTACTATATTGTAGTTTGCATTTCCCTACTATTAAGCACATGGATTATTTTAAAAATTTAAATCTAATTTTATAAATCCCAGCACTTGTTAAAGTCACTAACATTTAAGCTAAATTTTTATTGAAAAATTATTTGCCTATTTCTCCCCAGAACATGTTCTTGGCAATAATTAATGACACCTATTCTGAAGTTAAAGCCGACTATTCAATAGGCAGAAGGCCAGATTTTGAATTTGGTAAAATGATTAAAAACGTAAGTCAAATTCTTTTCCTAATTAGCATTCTGAGTCAAATCTTATTCAGAGTATACTATTGTAGTTTGAATAACACTTAAACCCCAAGTGGTGGTGTTTTGTTGTGCTTTGGTCCAGTGTTACTTATATTTGCATTATTTCACTATTAGGAAAGTGAGATATGCTCTCTGGCTTTAAAAATGTAGCCAAAATTATTTCGGAGTTCAATATATCAAATAATAACTGAGTTATTTACTAAATGCAAAGTACTGTTGGGTATTATAATAAAACTCTCTCTTCCCTCCCAAAAGTCTTAAATTTAGATGCTGGTAAATTTCTATAAACAATATAAACTCAGAACTCCATGTGCCTTGTCGTCCTCACTTTCTTGTTTCTGTTAGTGGCAACACTATTCTCTTAGTCACTCCTGGCTCAAAAACCTTGGAAAGACTTTATTTCCTTGTCCCTTATATAGTCTGTTGACAAAGAATGTGTATAATTTACCTCTGTAGTTCTTGCTCGCACTTGTGGAATTCAAGGACACCTGGAAGTCTCACTACCACAACTAGATTAGAGCTTTCAAGTACTTTTCACCCAGCTTTCTGTATGGTAACATTTTAACTGTTCTGGCCTCTTTCCCATGCCAGTCTAGTTCTGATCCTACCAGTCTCCCTGGGCTGAACAAAGTCAGTCCACATTCTTTCTCCTCAAGTCTGATAGTCCCAACCTGTTTTTATTAATCATTTAACTATAGTGCCTCTAACTTTTCTGCCCCTATCTACAAAACTGTACGTCCCTGCTAATCTGTTTTGAGCACTCTGCTGTATACCATGCTTGCTATAACTCCTCTGGGCCTCTGCTTATGTCATTCCCCGACCCCTGAAATAGTCCCACAGCTCTTCTCTCTTGCTATATCTCCTTGACATTCTATACTCCATGAGAGTGGAATCAGCTCTGTCCTCCTCTCTACACCTACCTCACTTTGAGTTGTAGCAGAGTCCAGTGTGTGAGCAATCTCACCTCCCCCACCAGCTTACCTATTTCTGCATAACCCATGGCTCTAAGCACAGCACTTTACTGTCCTAGAAGCTATGGCATTAGTGGTGCTTAAGAACTTTGTCCAAGAACTCATCTGTAAAAGAACACTGTTATGATGTTCCCCTATGGGTTTAATTATGGGTTTTTTCCCCCAACTTTTATCTCTTGAGTATGATGTTAGTTATATACATTAAGTGTTAACACCCTTAACGCATTATATGTTAATACTTTTTAAATATTTTTTTTCAAGTTCAAGTGTGATGTTCCCAAAAGAACCCTTCTGCTTTTTCACAAGCAGGCAGAAACCATATAGGTGGTGACAAAGTGAAAGTATAATCATAGCATTTTGTCTCCACATTTCTTTAGGGTAGGAATCCCTAGAGACAAGCAAGCATTCCATATTTCTTTTACCTTGATCAAGCATTAGTTATACAGGATATATTTTTGATGAATTTTCAAACTATTTTTAATTATGCCCAGAGTTATAAAAATGCTCTTGAGAAACTCAAACTGAAGAAAGCTCAAAAAGAAGACAACAAAACGTAAGATGACTTTTTAAAACTTTTTAGCTTACCATTTTAAAGTTTTAAAGGAGAAACTTAAAAGGAGAGTAAGGTTTTTGATTTCAAAACAACCATCATTCTGTGTGGTGATTCCAAATACACTGTCAATACATCCAAGTAGTGCCTCTGAATTTTTGAAGATGTCATGAAACTCTAGGCTAATTTAAAATTAATATAATTCAGGTCCCTGTACCTGCCAGCTACCCACAAATATAAATAATTTTTAAAATTAATATAATACATGCCATACCACTCAGAAAAAACTTTGAGAAAGCTGGATGGGAGAGGAAAGTCCCTCTAAAAAGATAGGAAACAATTCTAGTCTACACTCAGTGCCTTCATGTAGTTATCAAAATAAAAACATTTTACACAGAATACTTAAGTTATGGACAACACTTCTATATATTGAGTGACTTGGGGATCAAACCCAGACCTCTGGCAGTGGAATATAATATAAACCTTCTTTAAATAGCTAATAACATGTGGATACTCTGGAGAACTTATTAATGATCACGTTTTCCAAATAATTAGCAATTATTATCAGAAATACAATTCAGATCCTTACTATGGATATGATTGTATTTTAGGGTGGCATTTCCCTTTTTATTGTCATATACCTTTGATTTTTATCTTATATTCTCAGTAGCGGAAGCAGCAGAGATTTGGCTGAACAAGCCAGAAGAGAAGGCTTTGATGAAAATGTAAGATTTTAATTTTTTCATAAATACAAGGGGTAACTTTATCAGAAATATGCTTACAAAAAAGTTCTGATTAAGAATTGAAATGATTTGGTTTTTTTCAGAGCAAATAGCTGTCACCTCCAAATAAATCTCACAGAATCTAGGTCCTTTCTCTTTTAGGACAAACCATTTGAGTTCCAGATGTTTCCTCTCTCCTGTTAGTACTTTCAGCCAGATACCCTGGTACTACGAGTGTACACTCACTGTGGGATTAACACATTGGGTATTCATAGTGAGTATATTCTATTGAGATGATTATATAGTTTTTCCTCTTGTAATTATCAATGTAATGAATTATTTTAATGATTTTATTTTTTATATTTAAAAAATTATAACAAAATATATATTCAGCAAATGTGGAATTTAAGGAATATACATGTGGAGTTTAAGGAATACATGTCACTACCACTCAATTTAAAAAAAAAAAGGACATTGCTCTACCTCTGGCCAATCCCCTTCTCTTCTCTCCACATACTCAGAAAGAAGACAGCTGAGTTGGGAGACTAGAATAAGCAAGCAAACAAATATAAGAGTGAGCTCTCTCACTGTCACATAAGAGAGTTACAAAAATGGAAAGGCTGAAGGTTAAAATGAACTTTGTGGTGTTGGATTACAATTGTAGGTGTGTGTGTATTTGTGTGTGTGTACATATATACATACATGTATTTTCTAGCTCTGTCCAATGAGAAGGCTAAAAATGACACCTTAGTAGCAATGAGTACAATTAGTACCCATATCTTGGTTTCCAAATACCATTCTCTAAAAGGAACAAGGGCTCCTTATAGATATGGCTAATTCCAGGGCTGGAAAGTACAAGATGAATCTGGAATATCTTGTTGGGCCAGAAAGTAAAACCACTCAAAGAATGATGGAGATATGTTAAAAGGACACAAGAGTCAGCTTGAGGAGCTCAAATAGGCCAAATCTGGGAATATTTAAGCACTATAATGAATAATGATTTATAATTCAATGAAGAAAATAGGATTCCATGAATCCCGACTGATCTACACATACAAATGAATAAAAGAAATAGGACATTTACACACCTCTGCACAAAACACTTATTACAAAAAGAAAAGCAGTAACGTCAGGGTGAAAAAGTCTGACAGATAGCACCTTAATCAAATAATCAAAGTTACTACACCAGTACTGATATGCCACCTGATAGGATGCCATGAGAATTGGCATCCCTTCTATGACATCTCTGTCAAAGATGTATAATCTGAATCTAACAATGAAACTTCACATAAAACTAAACTGAAGAACATTCTACAAAATAACTGGCTTGTATTCTTCAAAAGTGTTAAGGTCATGAAAGTCAAGGTAATACTGAGCAACTATTTCAGATTAAATGAGATTAAAATGACAGGGCTTGCTGGTTAGCTCAGTTGGTTATAGCATGGTGTTGATAACACCAAGATCACGTGTTTGGATCTCCCCATACCAGCCAGCCACCAAAAAAAATGACCTGACAAGTAAATACAATGCATAATCCTATTTGTATTGTTCTTGTAACTTTTCCCTAAATTTGATATTCTTTTAAAAAGTCTATAATTCAGGGCCGGCCCGGTGGTGCACTGCTACAGTGCGCCGCTTGGGAAGCGCAGCGGCGCTCCCGCCGAGGGTTCGGATCCCACATACAGACCGGCCGCTCACTGGCTGAGCGAGGTGCAGGGGCAACACCGAGGGTTGTGATCACGTTGCCGGTCCCAGTCCGGTACGGGCGCGACACTGAGGGTTGCGATCCGTTGCCGGTCACAAAAAAAGAGACAAAAAGGGAAAAAAAAAAAAAAAGTCTATAATTCAGTAAACCATTCCTAAATAAAAGATGATGTTAACTGAAAGACACACTGGAAAAAAAAGAAAGAAAATAAAGACATATTATGTATATTGGAAAATTTACCTAGAATGGTCAACATGAAGCTTATCCAAGTAAAATTTGGATTTACTTAAAAGGAAAAGAAAGTCAGGTTAGCATGACATAATTCAACACCATAAATCAACAGAACACCTACAATATATTCAAAGAAAGAAAACATAAGCCAAGGATTTTTATATTCAGCAAAGCTGTGCTTCAAATATAAAGGCTCAAATATGCAAGAACTCAGAGAATACTATTGTCTTTCTGAGGATCCTACTACAGGATAAGCTTCAGCCAACTGAGAGGTGATTGGAGAAATGATGGAAAAAGAAGAATGGGGCAAGAAAATATAAAGTAGAAAAAGATAACTGGTTCATATGTGATAGCTAAAAGTTAAAGAATATCATTTAGAGTTAATAAACCAAGAAGAAACATCAGTAAATTTGAGTACAATGGAAAATAATAAGATACTGTTTATTTTAAAAACTTTTTTTTTTCCAAATTTTATCATCTCTGAAATTAGAATGTGTCTTGTAGTTAATGGCATGTCATACTTTAGCAGCATTTTACCCCTAAGTGGTACATAAAATAATGGTGTGTCTTAAAATAGACACCATCTCTCAGTTACAACGAAATATGGTAATTGAACAGATCAAGAAAAATAAAAGGATAAAGAAAACCAAAACAGTATAATGTATAAGGTGATCTTATGGTTATTAAATTCTGTGCTCTTAGAAGATATATCTCCTTTTCAAAAACCCATTCATAAAAATTGATCATCTATTGGGCCACAAAGAAAACCTCAATAAATTCTGAAGTGCAAAGTTAATGTAAAAAAATTATCTGAAAACAACATAATAAAAATATAAGTTAATAACAAATAGAAAATAAAAAGATTCTTTGACCAAGAAATTTTAAAACTCTCTATTAAACAACTCTTGAATTGAAAGGAAGTACAAAATGAAATCACAGAATTTCTAAAGAACAAAATAATGAAAGCATTATATAGCAGAATCTATGAGATAAAGACCACCCAAAGGAAAATTAAGTCTTAAATTTATCAATAAAAATCAAGGAATGAAAACAAATTAATTTAGCATTAATGTTAGAAAATAATAGAAAGAAAACAAATAAGAAATTAATAAAGATAAAGCAGAATTAATGAGTTATAAACAAAAAATAGTATCAATAAATCAAACGGATGATTTTTTTAAAAAGATCAATGAATGGGCCGGCCCGGTGGCGCTCCCGCCAAGGGTTCGGATCCCATATAGAGACCGGTCCGCTCACTGGTTGAGCGTGGTGCGGGCGTGACACCGAGGGTTGCGATCCCGTTGCCGGTCGCGGTACGGGCGCGACACTGAGGGTTGCGATCCCGTTACTGGTCACGAAAAAAGACAAAAAAGGAAAAAAAAAAAAAGATCAATGAAAAGAAATCAGAATAAAAGGAAGCGAGCATAAATATACAAAGTGAGAAATTACAATGGGGAAAATAATTAAGAAACAGAAGGAATTAAAAAATATTACTAAGAGACTTTTTTGGTTAACACTTGGATAACTATTCAAGTAACATCTGAGAAACAGAATAAAATGGATAATTTTTCTATGAAAATAAAATTGATCAAAATTGAGCCCAGAAGAGATAAAAAGCCTAAATAAATCCATTCTATAGAAGAAATAAAAGTAACCAAAGAGCTATCTCCAAAGTCAATCAGATGATTTCACAAGGGTATTTTACAAGATTTTAAGGAGCAAATAACTTAAAGCTATTTAAACCATTTCAGAGCAAAGAGAAAACAGAAGCTTCTGAGTTATTTTTATAAAGTAACTATGTATTGTACAAAAAAAGAAAAAAGAAAATAAAATCTCACTTTTAAATCTTAAAGCAAAAATCTAAATAAAATATTAGCAAATAGAATCTAACAGCATACAATAATCTATCATGATTCAGACAGTTTATTCTAGGAATGAAAGAATGGTTCAAAGTTGGATAATCAACTAATTAACATAATTCGTTGTATTAAAAGAGGAAAATTACATGATCATTTTTCACAGATACTGTGTATTTGACAGTTTCAATAGCCAATCTTGAGAGGGGAAACAAAACAAAACAGACACCAATGATACTTCCTTGATATGATAAAAATATTTATTTCATCCCCTAAACTATCACCTTACTTAATAGGAAAACACTGGACATGTCAGGGACAAGATAATGATGTACTGGAAGAATCAGTCAAAATAATTACATAAGAGAAATACATTAGAGGTATAAGAATTGAAAAGGAAGGGCTGGCCACTTAGCTGAGGTGGTTAGAGCATGGTGCTGAACACACCAAGGTCCAGGGTTCAATCCTTGTAGTGGCCAGCTGCTACCAATGGGAAAAAAAAAAGTTGAAAAGAATTAAAAAAAAAAAAAAGAAAATAGGAAAAAGTAAAACTACCTCTATTTGTGATATGATCCTCTTAAATATTCTAGGTATAAAATGAATTACAACAAAAAGTAAGAAAATTCAGGAAGTGGGAAAAAATAGACACAATCATGTCATATAATTACACAAGACCCTACTTATAAGCAACAATATAGAAAATGCCAAGCAACTAACAAAAATATTCAAAACCAAGATAAGGAAAAAATTTTTTAAATTTCTTAAAGATACAAAAATAGACCTGACCAAACAAGAAGTCAGACTACATCTATTAATTGAGGCCTAGCCAGGAAAAAAGAACCACAATATATAGAGTCATACATCACTTAACAATGGGGATATGTTCTGAGAAATGCATCATTAGATGATTTCATCGTTGTGCAAACATCATAGAGTATATTCACACAAACCTAGATGGTATAGGCTACTACACACCGAGGCTATATGGTACAGTCTGTTGCTCTGACCACTGCTATATCAGATCTGTCATTGACTGAAACGTCATTATGTGGCACATAACTGTATTTGAAACAGAAAATTTACTACAGGGAATTGGTTACACGAGTATTAGAAGACAGAAAAAGTAAAATGAGAACACTGAGGCAACTCACAGATACTAACTGTAGGAAGAGGTTCCACTTCCTGGGCTAACGTTATAAAATGTAGGATTATCAGAACCTAGTATTTTAGAGAAGGGGCCTGTGGCTGTTGCTCCCTCTTCTGAGAAGAGTGTATCCCCTTGCCCTACCCTGACTGCTGCTGATACTTCTGAGGGGGTATAATGAAGCTGGTTTGGGGTACGCCAAAAGAAGCTGGATGTTACAGCCTGGAGCCAACCATTGCTGCTGGAAGTTAACTATCACTGCATAAGCAATGCCACTAGAAACAGAAAAAAAGAAGACCCTTCTATCCATTTCCCAAATACTGGCAGAGTCTAACAGAAATTCAGCTAGCAAAAGAGTCTGGGGAATGAATTTTGCAAAGCCTGAGACCCAACATTACAGTATAAAAGGGTAAACTTTGAGTTGAGATACATTAGCTAAACAGTGAGCCTGGTCCACTCAGTCCACCCTTTTGTCTATGTAACATACTCATTTGCATTTCCATAAAATAACAATTGTTAATAAGATGGAATTATCCTTTATACAAAAAAGGCAATTTTATCCTCTCCCCAAAAAAGATAGAAGGCCCAACAACAATTGTATCCATTTCTGGATGATAAGACCTCTTCTAGTTAAATCACAATTCCATATGAGTATTTTGTAACCTAATGTAGTTAACCACCACCTATATTCCTTAGATAAAAAGACAAAGAAAACAAAACAAATATATATATATATAACAAGCAAAGAAGAAAATATGCACAGCTGCTACAGTCCTTGTTTCTATAATAGACAAGACTGTAGTTGAGATTTATAACTTCCTTCTACTATCCCTTTCCATATCATTCTTTGCCCACAGCCAACCCCTCAGCCGGCTGCATTAGGATTACATACAGCTTCATTAGTTCAGAATCTGAATCCTCAGTGGTTCTGCCTTTAATGGAATGCTGTAGTTTCCCATTACCTTTTGATTTTGGACATGGAAGTATTGAGAGGTACCCCATAGAATCCTCGTAGGTCCCAAATATAGTCCTCTCTGTTCCAATTTTGTAGCAGTAACCCAATTTCCTCTTGGTAATGGGATCAATCACCTCAATCAGTTGATTAACCACTTCTCTGCCTGCTGGTTTTGTAGCATGAAGAATCCCAAGTGGCCAGGTGGTAGTCTCAAATTCTTAAGTTGACTGTCATATCCCTTGGTGGAAGTGTGCTATCTATGAGGATCTGTTTCTTTGGACCTCTCCTGCTACCAGGTATTCATCAGTTAGGATTTCAGTCAAAAAACCAGAAATCATACTAGGTAGTTCAAAAAGAGGGGGTTGGTGCAGAGAATTCATTTCTGAAGTATCAGAGGACTATAAGGGCCAGTGTGAAGACTAAGGTAATCCTGAGACAACTGCAGGAGGTAGCTACCACTTACAGGGAAGAGATGGGGTGACCAGAATCTAGGATCTTGGAGGAAGGGCACCCAAGGAGTTGGTGCTCTGTATCCTATCAGCAAAGTATCACTTCCCTATGAATGTCGAGAAGTCACAGAAAGTAATTGGCTGAGATGAGTTTTTTGAAAAATGAGTGAAGATAACTATGCAGTCTATTCAGCCCATATTACTAAAGCATCCACAGTATAACTGGCTGGTCATTTAGAAACGGTTTCAGGGCCTATCACTTTAACACCACGTTGAAAGTATCTGTAAATATGTCAAAACAAGAGTGCTGTAATGTGTCTAAAACAAAACTAGAAAGATGGAAAGTCACCCTTTCCTGCTTTGGATAAATGTGCTGGTTTAAAGGAAGACACTGTCTGATACAACACACTTCTCTGACCAGAACAGTACACATTTATCAGGCAAACACAGAGTGTATAAAATTAGGTATCAACACCCTCTCAGAAGAAGGTAATCAGAAGCCTTAAACAGGGATCCACTTTGCCACCTACCACTACTGCTGGAGCAGGGCAGTATCACACCGATTTACTGACAAGTTTTTGAATCACATCTAGGTACTGTTTCTTCTTTCCTTATCTTTTTCTAGGGCTGTCCCTATTTTCCATGACACACAGCGCATTTTTCCGAAGTTGAGAAAAAGGTATTTGGACACTATAAAGAAAGTGGGTGGTAGTGAGAACAATGCACAAGAAGGACTCTCTAGAATCAAAGAATGGTGCAGCAACATGAGTTTTCTGGTATGAGGGGTGTGTCTTTGGATACGAGGACAGACTGTAGTATACAGGTCGACTAATGAATGCAGTGATTATGAAGAGGGGATTTAGGTAGTCAGCAGCAGTCTGGCAACAAATACCCATAGATGTACTTTCAAGTATATTTGCTACAATGAAGAACAGAGATACAGAAAGAACATCTCGGCTCTGACCAAATGAAGAAGAAAATCAAGAAGAAACTCAGATGGAGATGTAAAAGGTAAGAGGCAGTGAAATGAGAATAATTTATTTAAAAAAAACAAAAAACTTCCCTAACTATGCTAAACAGCTCTTAAACCAAATCCTCTGAAGTGACTTTGCTAATACACAGACCTAAAAACCAGGCAGGGCAAAAAGCCAGTGGGGCTCAATATCCAAGGCCTGGAGTGTAGAGACTAGTTTAAGATTTTCAACCCTGTGATGCTGTGTGCCAAAGACTGGAAACAGAGAACTAAAGATTGCAGCCTTTATTTGTCCTCTAACTTGACAGGAGATTAAAAGGGCAGTGCAGATGAAAAAATGGAAAGAGAGGCTTGAGAAAAAGTACTATTCTACAGAAATTCAAGATGACTATCAGCCAGTCACTCAACAAGAATTTCGAGAGTAAGTATTTATTTTAACCAGGGTACAATGAGATATCATGATATAGGGATTGAAGATATGAGTTACACACATTATCTTCCTGAACTCAGAACCTTATTCTGTTGAGATTCCATTTTTTCTTTCCATTTTCTACGCAATTATAAAATTAAAGCACATAACTCCATTTGCTTAAAAAGTGAGAGAAAATTGATTTTATCCCTACATCTCTAAATAAAAGGAAATGCCATTTATATTTGAAATGCATAGCAGATACTGTTCACAACACAGCTTTAGAATATTAGATCTGTAACTGCCCATATGAAGCATGTTTTAGCTATCTTCCCACTCAAAGCATTTCACAATAGTCACAATAGACCTGCTGTCTCCTTATAAACAAAAGGGTATTACTAACTCATTCTCTACTTCCTTCCAAATTATCTTCTAGACTCTTTTTATATGCTGTGGAGCTGGAGAAGGAACTGCACTACATCAGTTTAAAATTAAACCGAGTGATGAGAAAGCTTTCTTCTCTACAATACTGAGACAAGTGGAGGTAAGAATGTGTGATGCAATCACTGAAAATTTCTAATAAAGACTTATTCATGTCTTGAATTATTTCTTAAATTTGTCCCCATTTTAGGTACACTTTAGAAGCACTAAACTACCTATCATCAAACTATCTTTAGGGTCAATTATAATAACCAAATGACTTCCAGGAATTAAGTGTCCCTGAATGGGACCCGCTGTACAATCCATGCATATTACAACATGCCTCTAGTATACACACACCTAGTACACACAAAGGATTTTATAATGAGGTTTATTATTAAATTCTAGGAATGTAAAAGTACAAAATAATACACTTAGAGACCTGCCCCACAAACAATATATTAATAGTTCAATAAGTAGGTAGAGAAAGTTCTCTCATACACAGAATAAGTAGTGTTGGTGTTTCCAAGTGCATCATCTACCGTGTTCTGACTTCCGTTAGCCATAAATAAATTAATAAAGGCTTAGGATTCTGGAAAACCATTATATAAGACCCAAGTGAAATAATCTCCCTCCATTCTTCAGAATTCGAAGTCTCCTGGAAAAAGCCAAAGTGTATAAGAACAAACTCCCCCCCCCCTACAGAAATTTCACTAATATCTTCAAACTGGAAATTCATCCAGACAGTTTCTAAAGGGGCATATTGAAAGTTTCCCAAAAATAAAATAAAAAGCAGGGTAGGCATATCAAGGGCATGAGAGGTAAAGTTGTTTGGAAAGTGTAAATAATGATTCTGCAATAAGAGCCCTATTTGGATGATTGGAAAGTTGTGTATGACTAGCATTTTGAAAAATGGAAAGAAACTCTCAATTTTTCTAGGCTACATAATCCACCCCCCCGCCAACAGCCATATGTTCTTTTAGGCCAAGCAACATCATTTGACCATTGCACTCAACTTGCACATTGGTGTTCAATAGTCCCTGGATTTTAAACTTGAATAAAGACATTTTTAAATCACTACTCACCTTCTTTAGGTCCAGCTCTTCTATAAGAGACTGTACATCAAATTTTCTTAATAGGATAATTCTCTGCAACAAGAAATGCTGACTATTCTCTTTGCAGTTTCTCCCTAGATATCCACAAGGGAATCAATAACCTGGCCTTTCCCTGCCTTACCACTCCCCAGAGCTGTCACGAGCCAAAGAATTTAGTAACCCTGTTGTCTCCTGGATGGGGTAATTCAAACAGAGCCTAAGAACATTAAGGCAAGGGAACATTTGAGATCTCTATTTTTTCTTTTTTAACACATAGTAGAAAAACAAACATACGTTTACAATGACTCAGAACATTAAAGTTTTTTTATTACAAAAATCTATACAATGAAGTGCCAGACACAGCAATGCAATTATACTAGTGGACATATATATCTATATATTCTTTGTATATAGATATACAGTTTTTATTTGTACCAAAATAAAATTATCACAAACTGCCTAATTTTACCACCTACTGCTCAACTATGACACACAATACTGTCACAAAGCATAAGTGCTGCCATACCACTTTTATCTATTCTACTTGCAGCCAAACATTAACACTGAATAACCAACATCATGAAGCAGCTGTTAATTCTAAAATGAAACCAGTCAGGCCACTGACTTATAAAAATATGGTACTCATATAGATTTAGCATTATAAAGAAGGAATATATTATTTAAAACATTTAAATAGTGCATATGGACATTTTTGCATGTGGTATATAAAACAAAACATTCATATAAAACAATACACAGTGCACATAAAATTAGATGTTCGGATACACTCCTGTCTGGAGACATAAAGAAATTAACTGAAATGTACACTGCATGATGGATTCAAATCAAAGTGGTACATCTTTTGGTGTTTTCAATTTTACTTTCCTAGGTATACGTTATGAATAACTTAGTTGTATCAAAAGGAAACCACATAAAAAGGGCTGGATTTAGTGCTTTTTTATTTCCCAACTACATGTTTACTACCAGTAACTACCAGATTTTCCCTCCCCCCCAAAAAGGCATTGCAGACACAGATGAAATGTGAAGTACTAGAAATGCTATTTATAATCAAGCTACTCCATGTGCTTACTATGTAACAGTGCCAGAATTCTGAGGTTCATGCTTCCCTCACCTTATATTAAAGGGTGTTGCAAAATTCCATTTTTGTATGGAACAAATTATTAATATTAGCTAGTTAAAAAAACCATGCATGAATCACCACATGCAAAACATGGGCACAGTCAAAATGAGACACACATCAATCCAAAAAAGCACCAGGAAAAAAATTAACACCTAGATTAAGCCTGACCCAAATCTGCTATTGTTAGCACAAATGAAGTCACCATTCAGTAAAAATGATTAGCAGAATGATACCAGGAGAGTACCTGAAGAAAAGCCATGCAAAGTCAAAGAAAAAAAGATATACTAAGAGCGTATGACAAAGGGCATACCACTATGCATCCTGTAAACAGCTGCCTTAAACAGCATTATGATTGGGCAAAAGGTGGTCTCTATAAAGGGGTGTTTTTTGTACAGGTTTTGCTGATTAAAAGAGAAAATAAAAGATGCAACCCCCTGAAGGTACATGTAAAAATGCAGTGGTACAGCCCTTTTTAAGAACAGATTTACCTTAAGCATAATGATTATCTTGCCAATTTAGGCCCATTTTATTGAACATACAAATCTCAGCACCATCAGAGTTCCTACACACTGACAACACTATTTTCTCACATTATCTGGAGGAAGGTGGGGGAAGAGCACAGGACCTGATCTAGACAAATCATATCATCACCAGCTGATAAACAGTAACTTAGGAAACAAACAGTAACTTAAGTCCCATAGGCAGCATGTGATATGATTTAGTTCTGTGTGTAACATGTGGTATGTGTTTTTAATATACTAGGCAAGGTCACTTTTTGTTCTACCCACTGTTATCTTCATCCAGGAGCTATGTGACCACTGAATTGCAAAATTTTGCTAACATACTACCTGTAAAAAGGTGTCACTTTGGAAATTAAACAGAAAGGTATTCCAGAGTAGGATTTGAAATTTCAGTTTGATTTTGGTTTTCTAGGAAAACATAGAACACAGTTGCATATGTGCACTTTTATAGGCTTTTCTTTCAAATTTCCAGTCATTCCATAAGAAAAAGGCAACTGAAGAATTTGGTGTGAAGATATTCCTCTCAATTTTCTTCAGTAATGAAAAACTAAAAGTTGGCAGTAACAAAAAGCTTGTATTTCCAAAGTCTTTGAAGTTGAAAGGATAAAATTCTTGTCTTTTGCTAACAGGATGTATCTGTAGTACAAAACAATGAAGGAAACTGCACATTTGCTAAAGGTAGAAAAGGACAGTCTGTGGTTAATATGGAACATCACTTACGCTCCCTAAAGAGGGCCTACTCACCCTCCCATCACTTGTTTAGTGGCACCACAACCAAGTACAAAATGAGATTCTCTGAGTGCGTGACAAAATGAACTCAAGTACCAGCCAAGTACACACGATGATAGCTTCAAGGAATACATAACTGACTTTATGATATGACTTTTCAAGGAGCATATTTTATATGGATTTTGAAGAATCTTGTTTGCTGATAAGAACTTCAAGAAGCCTTAGCTTGGCTTTAATTTTCTTGTACTCCCTGTATTCCTCAAGCACTGGAACACGATCCTCTTTCTGGGCATTCCTAGGGGAGAAAATAAAATCTGTAATACTCTAGAGATCATCTGGAAAATAACGACACAGAAGTATGAGAAACGATGTTACTAAATGTAAGTCCAAATAAAAGTTGCTCTGCATGAAAAAAGGTTATTGGACTAATTCCTTCATCTCCAAGAAACATTCCTAAAATACTCCTATTTTTGGTGGATTTCTCTCCTGATAGATTAGATGATGCTATACTTCTTATCAATGACCACTGTAGATAGAGGTAACCTATATTTTAGTAAGACATATTGCTAGACTGTGCCAGATCTGTGTTTATTAAATATTGGAAGCCATTTCATACATTTAGTTAACTGTGGCTCCAGTGAATTGAGATGTAAAAGTAAACCACACCTTATCTGAAGCAAAAGAGGAATTTACTAACTTCATATTAATGATCCAATGCCATTCAGTTTAATCACTAACTAAAGCATCAAACCATACTATGAGCAAAATTTTCTTCCAATTAAATACAAAAATAGAAGACACTTGGAAAATGCATTCCTGCACTTCAGATTTTCTTAACCATATATGCCAACCTATACAGGAGACTCTCAGAGGGAATTAATTTAAAGTGAACACATTTTGGAATCTGTACCCAGTTACTTGGAAAAATGTTTCTCAAGCCTGAGATAATTTAACCGTCACTTCTGGCCACCATCTGAATTGGAATATATTTTTCTTACTTTTAAAAGAGCCCTTCAGGGTCACCTGCGCATTATGTATTTAAAGGCACAGGCCATATTGTATTATAGGAGCCACAAGACTGCCACATTTTTACCTTGGAAACGGGCAGCCTGAATGACCCAACATGTAACCTGAGCACAATAGTCTCAGTATAAAAATTAAAAATCCAAACTAGCTGAGGATACCACTCCTGTTATAGGATGCTTTCTAAAAGAAGAAACATCTCATTTCACAACCAATTCCAAAACAGTAAGGATATAGAATTAAAGAACACAAAATCATTGCAATTCAATCAATGCTCCCTAGGACAATCTTGAAATATTTCATCAGATATTGTTTATTCCAGCTCTGACCTTTTCCATTAATAGCAGGGCTTCAGAACATAAAGAGATGTTTTAAAATTTTATTTCCAAAGCAAACATCCTATATACACAATTTATTTCTAATCCTATATACTCCACTATTTTAGATGGACACTTTTGAGCTAATGGAAAAAGATGACAATTTTGTGATGCTCAACAAACCTTCCATTTTGTTGATAAAATGCTTCTTCAAATTCCCGTAATGTTTTACGTAGTTGCTTTTTTTCAGCTCTGGCTTTCCAAAGTTGTTCTAGTAATTCAGGCCTAAAATTGCAATGGAAGGAAAACGTTATTGAAAGAGCGTAGTTAATTCACTATTTTAACGGTAGTTCTAGCCCTGGCTGCAAATTAAAATCAACTGGGGAGCTTTTAGACTATACCAATGCCTAAGATCCACCCCAAACAAATTAAATCAGAATAGCTGATGGTAGCGCTCAGCATCAGTACTTTTATTTATTTATTTATTTATCTGTCTTTTTCCGTGTCTGGCAACGGGTCGCAACCCTCAGTGTCGCCCCCGTACCGGACCGGGACCGGCAACTGGATCGCAACCCTCGGTGTTGCCCCCGCGCCTCGCTCAGCCAGTGAGCAGGAACCGGTCTGTATGTGGGATCCGAACCCTCGGCGGGAGCGCAGCCACGCTTCCCAAGTGGCGCACTAGCGCAGTGCGCCACCGGGCTGGCCCCCAGCATCAGTACTTTTAAAAGAATCTTCCCAGGTGGCTGAAAAGTGAAGTCAGAGTTGAGAACCACTGTCATACTCCAGATAGTACTGGTAAAGAAGCTGATACAGAACAAACAGATAACCTCTCAGCTGGTTCCTGTGTTTTGTTATAAATCAAATGTAGGATTATATATTTTTTAAATTTTGAAACAATAATGTTTAATAAAATGTAAATAACATGTATTTGTAAATCACATTTTAAAAGGGTATATCCCTTCATTAATTCTTGATGAATTTCTTATATTAATTCCTCCCAAGTCAATTATTTAACAACAAATTTCTTGGTATATAAATCTTAATATACAAATAGGCTAAAATCACAAACCAGCATACATACATAGAAGCTGCTCGAGTACTTGACAACCGGAGATCCAGAGCCAGTTTTTCTTGATTTTCTTCAATATCAGATTCTGAGTTTTCCAAAGAAGACTGTGCCTGTACAGCAGTTTTCAAGATATCACTTAACTCTGAGGACAGACTAACACCATCTTCTTCTTCTTCCTAAAAAGATATTCAAACAGAGAATCAAACATCCATAACTTCAACTTTTCCTTTAGGAAAGAGATCAGAGAATGATTTCTCTAAAGGACTACCTTGATTTCTTCAAAAAAATGTGCAGTTTCTCCTTCTATGATTGGCTGTAACATTTGACTCCTTCGCTTGGTGGATGGAGATCCCTGTGACAATCAATAATACAGTTTCACGTTTTAAGTATTTAATGTGTCCAGTAAAGATGCATTTCATGTTACAGACATTGAACTATTTTCAAAATAAAAGTATATGCTTTTAATTTTCTTAGAAATTCCTTAATAAATTTATTTTGGCCTTTTATTTATGCACAAGCATGATGAATGATAATTTATGTCTAGAAACATCTAAAAGAGCTCATTCAATAAATATTTTCAAAATTCTAAATGATAAAGTATTACATATAGTTTAATTGGAAGCATTTTTCTGTTTAAAAATAAACACCAACTTTTTTAGTCTGAGGACCCTTTTACATTCTTTAAAAAAAAAAAATAACAGCTTTATTAACATATAATTACACACCACAAATTCACCTTTTAAAAATGTAGAATTCAATGGTTTTTAGTATATTCACAAGGTTGTGCAACCATCACAACTATCTAATTCCAGAACATTCCATCACCTCAAAAGAAACTCCGTGCCCATGAGCTATCACTCATTTGCCCTCTCCCCCCAGCCCCTGGCAAACACTAATCCACATTCTGTCTATGGGGTTGTTTATTCTTAATATTTCATGTAAATGGGATCATATAATATACGGCCTTTTGTGTCTGGCTTCTTTCACTCAGCATAATGTTTTCAAGGTTCACCAAAGATGTAGCATATATCAGTATTTCATTCCTTTTTATGGCTGGATAATATTCCACTATATGGATACATCACATTTTATTTATTCCTTCTTCAGTTGACAGACTTTTGGGTTATTTCCACTTTTTGATTATTATGAATACTACTACTACAAACACTTGTTTACAAGTTTTTGTGTGAACATATGTTTCCAATTATCTTGGGTATTGTATTTACCTAGGAGGGGAATTGCTGGGTCATACAGTAACTCTACATTTAACCTTTTAAGAAACTGCCAAATAGTGCCTGCACCATTTTACATTCTCACCCAGCAGTGTATGAGGGTTCCAATTTCTCCACAACCTTACACTGTTATTATGTCTTTTTTATTATAACCATACTAGTGGGTATGAAATGGTATCTTAATGTGGTTTTTATTTGTATTTCCCTAATGACTACTGATGTTGAACATCTTTTCATATGCTTATTGGCCATTCATATATCTTCTCTGGAGAAATGATTAATCATATCCTTTGCTCACTTTTAGTCATTTTTATTTATCTATTTTTGAATTGTAAGAATTCTTTATATATTCTGGATACAAGTCCCTTATTAGATATATGATTTGCAAACATTTTCTTGCATTCTGTGGGTTGTCTTTTCAACTTCTTAATAGTATCCATTGATGCCCAGAAGTTTTTAATTTTAAGGAAGTCCAATTTATTTTTTCTTTTGTTTCTTGTGTTTTTGGTGTCAAATCTTAAAAATGTCGCTTAACCCAAGGTCACAAAGATTTACTCCTGTGTTTTCTAGGAGTTTTACAATTTTAGCTCTTACATTCAGATCTACAATCCATTTTAAGTTAGTTTTTATATATAATGTGAGGTAAAAACCCAACTTCATTCTTTCGTATGTGAATATACAGTCATCCCAACATCATTTGTTGAAAAAACTATCCTTCCTATCAAATTGTTTTGGCTTAATTTTTAGACTCCATATGTCTCGTTATAAGAGATAGGCATATTTAGGAGTTTATAAAACACAGAAATGCTTCCTACAGGCCCAGTTTCTAAAGAGAAACCTGTGGAATTCTAAAGCAGCTTTCCATAAAGAACTTTTAAAACTATTTACACTATTATGAAATTATAAAATGTCAAGTGACACAAAATACCTTACAATCAAAGGATAAAATCTGTATTAAATAAGCTGTCTTATATATAAGACATTGAATATACTATGTAAGATTCCTTATTCAAAGAAAACTGATTATATCTAAATAAAATAGTGTTGAGAAGGCAAACTAAAAAAAAAAAAAAAAAAAAACGTCAATTAAAGAAAAATCAGTTTAGGGCCGGCCCGGTGGCGCACTGCGCTAGTGCGCTGCTTGGGAAGCGCGGCGGCGCTCCCGCTGAGGGTTCGGATCCCACATACAGACCGGTTCCCGCTCACTGGCTGAGCGAGGCGCGGGGGCAACACCGAGGGTTGCGATCCCGTTGCCGGTCCCAGTCCGGTACGGGGGCGACACTGAGGGTTGCGATCCGTTGCCGGACACGGAAAAAGACAAAAAAAAAAAAAAGAATAATCAGTTTATGTGAAGGCAAAACAGTATTTAGAAGGCCTATGTGAACCTTCTAATAATGAGTTACCAGGCTGTCAATCCTGAAGGAAGCCCCCATGCAAGTGGCTACCTATGTAAAAACAGCCTTGAAAGCCAAAGTTAACCATTCACTCCAAAGAATTAATTCCTAGGAAATAATGCAGAATGGGCTACATGCTGTTTTCTATTTGAGCCTGAGAGGAACCTATCCAGAGTCATACTGTCTAATGGTTAATTTGGGGATAGCACTTGAGTATGAGTTTTCATTTTTCTTTTAAAAAGTACATAAATATGAAGAAGCATTATTTTGGTAGACTTTTTCCAATTAAAAAAGATCAACACATAAAAAAAATCAGTTTATATTATTATGCAATTAGATAAACGGCATTATTACGGCCATCAGAAAACTGATGCATTTTTCGAAGACATGAATTTAAATGGAGAAAAACTAGACAAGGAGTCTGAACTTCATGCATTTTCAAGACATAAATTTAAATGGAAAAAACTAGACAAGGAGTCTGAATACTAGTCATGTATTTCTCCAGTACATCACTATAATAATTTTTTTGAAGAGTAAATCTTGGTAAAATGAACTATAGAAGTATTTGCTTGTTTTACTTACAAGGACAGGAGTGATGCTAGCTCTTATCAGCATCTGTTTTACAAGCCTGTACCTATCATAGAGAGGTTTAACAATGTGCCTTTCTTCCCTGGTCACCTGAAGCAAGAAAAAAGGAAATCACTAGTCATCAGAAATCTAAAATGTCCAAAACATTAAGCAATATGACTTTCCCACCAAATTTAAAATTTTATATTAAATAAGCAGGCAGTCGCCAAACTGTAAAAAACAATGCTCTATAAAACAGCTCTAAAAGAATGTAGGCCACAAAAGCAATTCATTTTCTTTTAAGACAGAAAACAAAATCTTTTTAGCAAGAGAGACATTACCGGCCTGCCATGTTGACTTTCATAGTAAAGAAGACTTTTCTGGAGAGAAGTTTTCTCTTCTACCAAATGATCTTTTGTCATTTTCTGTAATTTAAAAAAACAAACATTCCATTATAGAGTCTAGCCTAATAAGTAAGTACCAACCCCTCTGATGGCTTGATTCATATTTTATCTGAATAAATTGTGAATACTGACTTGGGTAAATTACTTAACTTCTTTGTGTTCAATATTCTAACCTGTCAAAAAGGAATACCTCATCCTACCTCAAAAGGGCTCTAATGAGGACTAAATGAGTTAATACACGTAAACCATTTACAACAGTTCCTATCCAGCACATAATAAGCATACATAACTGCTTATTTTAGGTAATTAGTTAATTTAGTTATTTAGTTAATGTTGCACAGTCTTTTAGTGGACTAGTGGACACTTACACACACACACACACACCCCTATAGTGGAAAGATCCTGGAAAAATCCTGATAATGTCAATTTGTGGCCTCAGACTCCCACTATATAACCTCAATTTCCCTCTATCTGGGTTGGCATATTCTTTACACCACAATACTCCTCTCACATCTTTTAGTATTCTAAATGGTACAGTAGGTAGGACTTCCCAAATTTATTTGTCCACAGAACTTTCTCCTTAGTTCCACAGGATCACCTATTAACATCTCAATGATCCAGTCTTCCTCAGAATACCCTGAAACACTCAACCAAATATACTTATTCCCAGGACTAGTTAATACCACCCTGTCTCTCATCAAAGTGAAATTAGAGATAAAAAACATTCACTGGATAATATCATCCTAAAACAAATACCACTTTAGATTACAGAGAATAGCTGGATGTAGACTCTGTAAAACATTGTGTGACTTCAATCTCAAGCTTGAACCTTAAACCTGGGATAATAAGTTTGAATAAAACTAATCCAATCAAAATCACTAATAAGAGAAAGAGGAGAAGGGGGATGTAAGAATTGTTCTAACAAGAAACTTAAAAGCAAAAAAAAAAATTGGGAAGGAGAGGGAGGAGAATAACTAATTCAACTCTGTTCAAGGGAGAAAAAGACTCCAATATAAATTTAGAACATGAGAGAGGTGTACTCTGTTGTCAAGATAACAATGTGTTGGGCCGGCCCGGTGGCACACTCGGTAGAGTGCGATGCTTGGGAGCGCGGTGGCGCTCCCACCGAGGGTTCGGATCCCATATGGAGACCAGTCTGCTCACTGGTTGAGCGCGGTGCGGGCGTGACACCGAGAGTTGGGATCCCTTTGCCGGTCACGAAAAAAGACAGAAAGGGAAAGAAAAAAAAAAAGATAACAATGTGTATCAAGACTAACCGTTGCCTGGACAAAATTTCACCTGAGACCACCTACCCTTTCCCAACAAATCTCCTCTAAGATAGATTTGGGTTGACAAGTGCTTTGACCAGGACTGCCCTAGGCACAGGTTTTACTGAGTAAGAGTAATGGTTCCTCAAAAAAATTAATTCATTTAATCCTAACAACCATATCAAGTTAGCATTTTTTTTTAATAGACATAATCACATCCATATACATCATAAGGTTGCTGAAGGGACTGAATGGCAGAATACATAAAATATAACCAGTCAATGTCTGGCATAAGCTATTATAGCTATTGAGGGACAAGGCCAGGATTCAAACTCAAGTCCGTTTCATGCAATTCACACTCTCATCTTGTCAAGAACCTCCAACATAAATGAACTGATCAGCCTTTAGTTTTTCAGTTTTATCACTGTCACTCAATCTCAGAAAAATGTGTCACTTCTGGTATGCTGGTAAAAGCATGCTTCTGAATCTGCAAGCTTAAGGAGCAGACAAGGGTAACTCAGACTACCCACACATCTCTATTCTGCTGTGGTAACTATTTTGTTTCAGGGATTCTAAAGGCTAGTCTGGGCAAAAATCATGGCTCAATTACCTTGATATCTTCTGGAAGACACCTCTCAATACGTTTTTCTTTCAGTCTTTTCAGAATAAGTTCAAGGGTTGCTTCCTTAGATGGTTTCTTCTCTTTCTGAATAAGCCTGGATTCATCTTCATTCTCTTCATCTTCATGGTCTAGAGAAGAGCCAAAGCTTTTTGGAAGAGTGTTACTACGTGGACGTGTCTGAGGTACAAATTCTCCATCGGAGCTTTTATGTTTTGCATCTACATTTCAGAAACAAGAGGGAAGATCAATAATAATTATTTTAGCTAAAATGTAACCAGGTCAAAGAGTAAGCAAGATATATAACAAAAGTATACATTAACAGCACATAGGATATATATTTCAAAGTCACAATGAATTATAAATACAGCAAGAGAGCTATTCTAGTCATTCTTTCAACCAATATTCATAGAAAGCCTACTATAAAGTAAGATGCTCTGATGAGCAATGGAGATACAGCAGTAAACAAAACAGACGTGGTCCCTGTTTCTCACGGAGCACATATTCAGGGAATGAAAAACAATAACCAAGTAATCAGGTTAATAAAATAATTTTAAAGAGTGCCAAATGCTATAAAAAAAAAAAAAAAAGATAAAACAGAATGGAGTCACACTGCTAAAAGGAATGTGCTTTATGGAGGAGCAAATACATTGAATGAAGTTGACAAAGAAGGCCTTTCTGAATGGTGCCATCCTAGTTGAATAGGGAATGATAAGAAGGAGCTGGCCTACCACAGAAGATTTAGAAGAGAATTTGTGCCAAATGAGGCAATAGCCAGTACAGAGGCCCTAAAGCTTGGCATGTTTGAGGAACAGAAAATGAGAGACAAAAGTGATAAAATTGGCTAAAGGCAGAGAGTGCAATGCCTTGAGAGCCATGGTAAGGAGTTTAGACTTTATTCTAAGTAGAAGGGCTTGAACAAGAGAGTAACGTGATTTTAAAAGATAAATCTGGCTGCTATTCAGAGGGTGGATTGCAGGACAGTAAAAGTGGAAGCAAATTGGGAAATTAGGAAGCTAATGCTAGTCAACTTAATGATACCAATTAGTAATACAATCAAGGTAATGATTTTCACTGATGGTTAGAAACTGGTACTAAAGGGCCGGCCCGGTGGCGCACTGCTACAGTGCGCCGCTTGGGAGTGCGGTGGCGCTCCCGCCGAGGGTTCGGATCCCACATACAGACCGGTTCCCGCTCACTGGCTGAGCGAGGTGCGGGTGCGACACCGAGGGTCACGATCCCATTGCCGGTCCTGGTCCAGTACGGGCGCGACACTGAGGGTTGCGATCCGTTGCCGGACACGAAAAAAGACAAAAAGGAAAAAAAAAAAAAAAAAAAAAAAAAAAGAAACTGGTACTAAAGAACAAAATGTTAACAGAATTGGAGAGGTAAATAAAGTAATATTCTACAGAGGAGTTAAGAGAAATTATCTTAACCACAAGAATGTAAACTCCATGACAGTAGAGACAGTGTCTGTCTTGTTCACTGCTGTATCCCCAGTTGTCTACAAAGTAGTTGGTCCTTAAGAGATACACTAAAAATTCTATTAAATAAATTCAAATGAATCAATCAAAGTGATGCTCCAGATTATAAACCCATACTTAGCACAGGTAATTTTTTCAGTATTAATAATTATTAAAAAGCATATTCACTAAATATGTACAAAGTAAATATACCTTAACAACTACTATAATGGGCTGAGACCCAAATGAAAGTCCTAGGTTATGATTCAAGAAGATTTACAACTTAGTTTTTGTAGTATAAACGATTCACTATGATTAGATATTCTTAGTCTTATATGAAATACCCACCAAATAATCTTAGTGAAATATCTACCAAAAACCAAAACTGCTTAATATTTGAAGCATATTTCAGATAAACCTTAACAGTTCACCTATAAATATATAATCTAGGGCACACCTTTCAAAAGAATATTACTAATAAAAGCATTTGAAGAATGTCTTATACCTTTAATTTGCTTCCGCAGTTTTGTAAGCTCTGTCATCCATTTTAATACCTTTGGATTGGCTGCAATATCACTGTAGGAGGGCTGAAAAATTAAGGAGCAGGATCACTTACACTTTTGTGGTAAGCAATAGTTATGTTAACTTATGCCCAAATAGTATTCTATAGTTTCCATTGCATAGATTTCAATCAATCCTTATTTTACCTCATCTTGTTTTAATTAAATAGGGCAGGATATTAAGTAAAGCTCTCCCAGAGAAGGGTTTAGTAACTGGCTGAAACCAAATTGTCAATTGATATGTCAATATAAAGTATTTGCTTTAAAAATTCTAAAAGCTGTTTTGCCAATGGAAACATAAAGATGAAATGGTGCAAAGGCAAGAAACCAGCACAGAAATCAGGAGACTAAGGACCTATATGATCGCTATTTCTCTGAGCATCCCAGATTTCTTCTCCCTCTCAGGATAGAATTGAACTAATGCTCTTGAAAGACTCTCCTCCCAGTTCTAAATTAGGTCTAGTTCACTCTGAGCAATGCTACAAACTTACCTTGCTATTTCTTTCCCTTTCAAACTGTTCTTCAAATTGTCTGATTTTTTTCTGAAGTTTCTTGACCAATTGATAAGGTGTTCTGTCTTCTCTTTTTTCATCTTTAGAACTAAAGGATGATCTTCGAATCCTGAATTAAAACAAAAGGCCAACACTGTGTGTTAATTAGTTTTAAGTGTCAACAACATATCTCCTATTGCCCTGACATAACATCTCCTATTGCCCTGACATAACACTATTACCAATAAGTATATCTTTAAAGGGAAATTAAATCCCTAACACTAAATGAGAGGTGGTAAAAAGAAACACTGTAGAGTTACAGACCATAAAATCAGCTAACACAAGCAGTGATGAAAATAGTTTGGAATAATTTTTTAAATTTGTTTGGATAGGGCCGGCCTGGTGGCGCACTCGGTAGAGTGCGGCGCTTGGGAGTGCGGCAGCGCTCCCGCCGAGGGTTCGGATCCCATATAGAGACCGGTCTGCTCACTGGTTGAGCGCGGTGCAGGCGTGACACCGAGGGTTGCGATCCCGTTGCCGGTCGCGGTACGGGCGCGACACCGAGGGTTGCGATCCCGTTACTGGTCACGGAAAAAGACAAAAAGGAAAAAAAATTGTTTGGATAAAGGCAGAAAAGAAACAAAAATACCTAACAGCTCAGAGCTCTTTTAAGTGTGCAAACTACAAAGAAAAGTTCTTGACATTCAGAATCAACTTAAAGTCTTGACAAAAACATTAGGAACTGGTCAGTTCCACTTACTGCTTCCCTTCCAGAGTTTTACATTTCAGTCGTGAATAAATAAATGAATGAATGTCTATCCAAGAGCAAACCCCAAATACTACATCTCAATTAACTGGGAATTTAATAGCAGCCCCCCCCCCCAAAAGTTACAAAAACATACTTCATGAAATGGGGAAGAAAGCTTTGAACTACAAGTCTGGAAAACTAATCTCTCTCAGAGGATCTGAGAGATTTTATAGAAAATGCCTCTCATAAACACATAAAAATCATATACCTAGCGAAAGAAAGTGCTTTAGATGAGGAATCCAATGTTTCTGGATTGTGTAGGAAACGCTGGCTTTGCCCAAAATCTAAACTGCGGTGTGATAATACCGGAGGACAGTCCTCTTCCAGGGGGTGATGATTCATTCTTCCAGCTTGTGGAGACAGCTGAGCTTCTCCAGACTCACAGTCTTCCTGCCAAGACTTAAAAGCAGGAAATGGCTCTGTAAAACAAACACAAATCATAGTACCATGGGTCTTTTGAGTCCACATGAAAAAAAGTCACAAAATATTAGCTATATGTTCTTTAAAGCATATCATTATGCAATGGTTCATATAATATTTATTATATAGTTTTTAAAAAACAAAAGATACTAGGATCTTCATAAAGCCTACAATGGCTTAAAATTATCCAAGCTTCACTTTTTAGCTCAAAGTTCTACTTTCACATGAGGAGTTATACCTTAAATTTCTGAACCCAGTGGCAAAACAAGAAAGGACACTGTCAAGCTCTTTAAAATTTAATTTTAAAGATGTTGTTTAATATAATTCTAACAACATTCTAAAAATGTTATATAGAAAAAACTCTTTATTTAGAAACAACAAACTCAACAGCCCTTAGTTAGGAATTTAACTTAAAAGCCAAATGCTGTCAGGTGTATGAATTGTCCTTCACTTCAAGTTAGGAAGATGTTAAAGCTCTTCCCCATGCTACACAGAACACTCACTAAATGGAGCTCTCTGATTCCAGAAGAATTCTAACATTTCCAAATGAGGAGCTAAACTCACCTGCCAGCACCCAGCCTCTAAAATTAAACTATGGCGGTTATCTTCTGTTACAGAATTCCTATGTATAACATATTTTTAAATAATTAAATACCCAACAGTATTATCAAGACAAAATTTAATAGTACTAGTCCTTTTTAAGCATATTATTTTACTGGAGTTATCCTGTATGCTCTCAAATGAAACCATGTTAATATATTTGATGTATTTGCACATATAAGGTTTGCTCACATACCAAACACATACAGATCACACACACAAATCACAAATATACCCCAAATACAAAACTAACATTAAGCAATACTGAAGTACAGGTAGGGGGGAAATCTTTCCCATCTACACATTATCTTTTTTTATAACTAAAATTTAAAACTTTGATGCTACAGCTATTAATAGCAAAAAATGAATGCAAAGATGGCTTGACAGTGTCAAAATTCAAGTGTTATGTTTTCTTTTTCTTCACACAACAGCTAAGATTGCTACTTTAGTAATTTAGTTTAATTTTATGCATTAGCAATTTAAAGCATTACTTTTTTCTCAGGGTAATAAGAACATAGTTTGTTTTTGAATCCCAGATTAATCTAATAACCAAAACCTGGGTTCAAAGCGTGCAATCCCACAATAAACCCAGCAATAAAGTAATTTTTGAAAGCAACCCTTGTACCTGTGTCCCAGCAAATAAGTAACTGGTAATAAACATTTTATGAGAAATCTCCTGTTTTAAGAAAAAAGGGAAGTAATAAAAACAATTTTTTTCTGGGTATCATTTTTAACCCAGAACAATTTTCCTAAGATACAGGGACAGCAGGAGAAGGGCTAATAAAAAGACAAACAAAGTGATCCATAAAAAGGCAAAAAAACTAAACTATGGTGAACCATACTTACCCTCCCCATCTCTCTGCAGATGCATTGTTTTGAAATCAATGAGGGGAAAAGTGATAGGGCATGACGCTAATAAAATGGAAAAAATGGCAAAAAATACTAAAGTGAACACACAGCACAGTCAGAACAAACCATACACATAAACACAAAGCCAAAGATACCAGAAACATTTCCCTAAAACAAGTTAGGTATTCTGCTCAAAAAAATTAATACTAACCAAACTTTAACAAACAGAAACATACATTTCCATTTCAGCAAGACCAAAAAAAAAAAAAAAAAAAATCATAGTAGTACTGTTTTATTAAAACTCAAATATAAAACTAAAGAAAAGGAAACTCTTAGCCAGGTACTGTTTAAAGCTTTTAAGTATAATTGATTAGACAGAAAGAAATCTCCCTTAGTTTTGCTCTTTGAAAAAATCCTACTACATTTCATTCCAGAGTTAGCAGGAGAGAATCTGAAGATGGTGTCTACTTCCATTAAAAACCGAGCTGATATAAATTCATGCTGATGGTAGTCATATGCTACCTGCTTCCTAACTGAATTCTGCTGACTACCCTTTAAGCAAAACAAAAAACAAAAACCACATATCTAAGTATGAATAGTGAGGTGGGCCTCTAACTGGAGTCACTCCCACTTCTCTATTAATAAAGAGGCACATCAAAAGAGGTATGTATCTGATTCCAACACATACAGGGTCTAAAGTAATTTGATCTCTTAAGGAAGACTTGTATTTAGAATATCCTAACTCCTAATTGTGGAAAATCAATGTTCATATTGGTGGCAAAGTTGGAAGAAACAACATGGTCTACTCATAGCCACTCTCCCAAACATATGCATAGTTCATGGCTGAGAAGTTCACTCAGCTGTCTACTACCATTGGCTTTCTGAAAGTCACTGCCCTATTCCAGGAAGAGCCACAGCAGGAGACCTTCCAGGAAGAGCCAGCAGGAGACCTACATAGGCTTATCAAGGCTCTTGAGCCAGGTGGATAACAGGGTAGCTCAGGCATTGAAAATCAGAGGTCAGTAGTTCATAAGTTATTTCCTTTCCCTATAATAAGCTGTAGGGATTGGAATCTAACAGGGAAAAAAAGATAACCCAGTGTAAGGTTTTCTTTGGGGGAGCCTCCAGAAAGCTAAAGATAGACAGAGAATGTCTAATCTCCTCAGAAAATGAAACAATTGCTCTTCTATGCTTAAAATTTAAGATCAGGACCCCCGGGCCAAAGATCATAAAGGGCTATTTATCTGCATCTTCTAAGAGGAAGAAGCTGCTTCTTTCAGAGATTCCTTTCCTACCAAGGGACCACTCCTCTTCAGTGACTATGCTTTGATAAATAACTAAAAAGGACATTTGATCTTCACTGCCACATATCCCCTAACTTTGGGGAGCATCTTCATAAATTCCAAATGTCCTGAACAACCCATAAAAGAGCAAATGAAAGACAACTTCCTGATTTAGTCTAAGACAAGACACTAATACACCACTGGGCATGCCAAATACCCAGACCTAAAAAAAGGGGGCAGGTGGGGGACAGTAATAAAAATTGGCATAGCAATGACTAGGTTGTGGCTTTTTTAAAAAAATGTCTAGACCTTAAAAAAAAAACCACACACACACTCCAATTGTGATCAGGTAAGTAGACTTATGGTAGCAAAAGGAGTCCGTGGCACTGGTATTGCAATTTGTCTTGTTATTGCCATAGTACGTCATTAGATAACTTGCCAGTGATCTTCATCCAAGTAAGCAAATATGTAACTCTGCTTAAGATTTCTGAGTTGTAACACTGTCTCTTTACCTAGAAGGGTGTATGATCCAGTACTCCTGGATCCAAATTTGTTGCTTGCTTCCCCCTCCTCCAAAATATATTAGAAAGTTTACAAATACATAGCAAAGGTGAAGGAATTTTACGGTAAACAGCCATATACCAATCACCTACATTCTACCATTAACATTTTATTACAGTTGCTTTATAACATTTATCTATCCCATTCACCATCTCATTTTTTTCATGGATTTCAAAGTGCAGATACCAGTATATTTCCCCATAAACACCCCAGCATGCGAATCATTCACTGAGGCTCAGTATTTGTTTACAATTTACAATTCTCAATGTAAAAAGAAAACTTTATATACAATAAAACGTAAAACTCTTAAGTGTACATTTGCTGAGTTTTTAAAAATATATATACCCAATGTTCCCCGTTAAATTTAAACTTCTTTCCTTTGTACAAATTGTTAGGGTCTCCCCATCATACCTTCATAAGCTAATATAGAGATACAGGGAAATGGTACAATATTTGCTTAGTAGTGCCCTCGAAGATCCAAAAAAAAAAGTATTCCTGATGATCGCAAGAGAAAGGCAGTTATATGCCCTCTGTTTAAACTGATGAGATCCCCAAAACCTAACACACTGGGGATTTTCAAAGACTGGGAGATAACATCTGGTTTAACAGCCTATCTTGGGTGATTTTATTTTTTTAAACAGTTCTAACATCCATTTTCAAAGCTAATGAATCAGATAAGAACTTCTAGTTCACATGAGATAGCTACCCCACATTAGTATATTTCAGGAAAAACACTCACTCGCTCATATATGAAAGGGAAAACAGAAGATGAATAAGGCTGTCCAGAAAAGGGTAGTAGTCTCATTACTGCTTTGAATAACTTCAGTTACAAATAAAATTATCAGGAAAATATGTGTGTGGGTAAAATTACCTTCCCATTTATCACCATCAGAAACATTCTTGATATCTAAATGTGGAATTTGGACACATGCTGCTTCCCCTTGAACACCAACACTTTGACCTCCTGGCAGTTCTGATTCAGTGTTGGCATTCAAATCACATATCTTGCAACTAGAATCCTGTATTTTAAAATAAAAAATACATTTCACAATCATGAAGCTTTTCACATCCAGCTTAAAGACAACCGGCACATAACTGTGTAATCTTGATTAGTTTAATGTGCCTACTCCCACCACCTAAAGTATTTTCAAATATAAACTTGGAGTTTTATAATGTGTCTTACTGGGAGACAAAGTTTGGAACCCAAATTCAGTAAAGTTTTTCAAAACCAAGTCTCTTGTAACCAAAAGTGGCAAATTAAGTTGCTTAACTGTAAAACATCTGATAACAGTATTTATATTTTAATCTCCTTTAAACCTATACAATCCACCAAGAGTTAAAGGGCCAGATACAATAATTGACAAGATTAAACCTAGGTAACTTTTTTTTTTTTTTTTTTTTTAAAAAGATGACCGGTAAGGGGATCTCAACCCTTGGCTTGGTGTTGTCAGCACCACGCTCAGCCAGTGAGCTAACCAGCCATCCCTATATAGGATCCCAACCCGTGGCCTTGGTGTTATCAGCACCGCACTCTACCAAGTGAGCCACAGGCCGGCCCTCTAGGTAACTTTTTTAAAAACCATAAGATAAAAACAGTTCTTACCAGAATCAAGTGTGGCAGTTTATCACTGTCAAATAACAAATATTCTTTCCTGAAAATACAAGTAAAGTATTAGCTATATCAAGAATAAAAAGGTTACTATCATTGCATATTTCTTACCTAGATTCCTTTCTTCCCCAGTAGAGTTAGCATTTACAGTGTGAGAGGAGAAAATGACAACTAAACATATGCCCATTCTTTGGAGCCCTATATCTGAAATCACACAATACTAAAAAGATCCACAGAATCACTTCAGGTTTAGAAAAATTAAGTAACAACTCCTCACCTCCCTCCACCCCCAAAAAGAAAAACCTTTAGAAAAGGAAAAATTAGGGCCGGCCCGGTGGCTCACTGGATAGTGCGCCGCTTGGGAAGCGCGGCAGCGCTCCCATCCGAGGGTTCGGATCCCATATACAGACCGGTTCCCGCTCACTGGCTGAGCGAGGCACGGGAGCAACACCGAGGCTTGCGATCCCATTGCCGGTCCCCGTCCGGTACGGGGGCAACACTGAGGGTTGCGATCCGTTGCCGGACACGGAAAAAAAAAAAGACAAAAGACAAAAAAAAAAAAAAAAAAAAAAAAGGAAAAATTAAAATCCACAGTAGAAACCAAAAAGAAAAAATGCATAATGAAAAAGATTTTTTAAAAAAAATTGTAGTTT